CTCGGCGGGGTCGCAGCTGCTCTGCGCGTCCTGTGGATGTACCTTTGTCGCGCGCCGGAGATGACTCGACGCCGCTGAGATCGGAGATCAAGCTCTGACAGGTCGCACGTCGCTCCTTTGACGCCGACGTGACTCACCCGTGCAGATCACATCAGGACACGGTCTCGACGCGCTCGGTACGACGCCTGCGACCCGTCTCGGGTCAGGTGGCACGACGCTCATATCGCCTGCCAGCGCTGCCGTGCAGGTTGCCACGACGAGGTCGAGAACGCTTCTATACGCTCGCCGAGCCTTCCTTTCCATCCCATTAGGCAGCCTGGGAACGGTGGCGATCAGAGGCAAAGCCTACGAGGGGTGGTGGAACCACATGTCACGGCTACTGCCGGCTCGACCCCACGATAGCCTCCGGAGGCTGACTTTGAGGCACAATCATCGGACGATGTCGACGAGTTGGGTCGCTCTCGCGGTAGCCAGATGACCTCTCATACTAGGAGCATCGGCCATGGCCGCAGGGAGCGCGGGGGAGGGCGCTGGAAGCAACACGGAGCTCCGTCGGAGACGTTTTCAAGATTAGCGTGTCAGAGTGAAATGGCACTAGCCAGAGAGCCGTCTCTATAGGTAAAGGTATAGCGCGCGTCTCGTCTCCACACATATGGTCCCTCGGGTCCCTGGGGTGTCAAAATTCTTCCCTACAAAGAGGCCAACGGACCCGAGAAGCGAAAAACATCTCTCCTGTCTCTCAATACACTACAAAAAGAATAATAATTTCCGAAAAAGAGAGTAAAGAGTAATATAGTTACGTATAGATTCGCGCGGGCGGCGTCCGACCGCGGAGCGCGGTGTGCTGGCCTGCCTGGTGCGCGCCCCGTGTGTGCGCGCCGTCCCGAGTACGTCACTATCTCACGGCCGGCGAGTACGAATACCTATACCTGTATCGACTGGTCCCTAGAGAGCGATGCCGCTCACTCACACCTCTCTCAGCCCCAGCCCGGCGAGCAGCGCCTCGTGGGCGTCCGCGAGCCGCGTGAACTCGGCGAGCGCGTTCGTGTCGAGCCGCGAGCGCACCTGCGCGTTGCTGCCGTTGAAGTCGCGGTGCGTGTTGACCAGCGGTGCCTTGCTCGACTTGCTCCGCTGGCGCCGCCGCAGCCACGCCGCGCGGTTGGCGGCCGAGTCCGGCGCCTCGCACTGCGCGTTGAGCTCCTCGCGCCGCGTCGCGAGCAGCGGAGCGTTGTGGTGCAGCCCCGTGAAGTTGGCGAGCGCATCGACAAGCTCGTGCGCCTGCAGCGTGCGGAGCTTCTCCGAGCTGAGGAGGAGGAGCTGCTCTCTGGAGAAGCCAGCGGCGATCCACGCGCGCAGACAGACATAGTGCAGACTGTTCGTGACGAAATTGCGCCAGACGCCGTCGCCCCAGCAGCTCTCAAAGTAGCGCAGCACCTGATCACGCACACAAAGCCGGCTGATGAACGGATGAGTCTGCGAGCCTGATTCCTCAAGCAGCAGCGCAGCGCCTGCTCGTCACTCAGCGAGCCGAGCAGCTCCGGGCTGTCGTACAGCCGCGGGTTGCACCTGGTCATCGGATTGATCGACCCATGAGACCATGCAGTTAGCGGACCGGCTGTCGCACAGCCGCGGGCTGCGCCTGCGGAGCCTCCGCAGCTGCGGCATCACGTCACTCGACAGGTTCGCAGAGCGCACCCAGCCCCACTGCACAAACATCTTGTAGCTCGACGTGAGCGCGTCGAGTGGCGTGCGCATCACCAGCAGCAGACGCCAGTGGCGCGGCGCGCCGACGGAGAGCCTCAGGTTGCGCAACGACTTGACGGAGCAGAGGTAGTTTGGAGTGAAGTCGGGCACGACGGCGCCTGGCGAAGAAATGCTACGAGGTTTGCATGCTGCGATCCATTCCATTCGCCTGGAGTCACGCAAGATGGCGCCCGGGTGCTCCGACGGGTCGAGCCGCGGCAGCGCCTTGGTGGCCTGGACCTGCCAGCGCGGGCTTGTCTCGCGGTCGTACTCGCCGTCAAACTCGGGCCCGAACCGGATCTTGCGCATGTCGAGCGGGAGACAGGCGCGGTGCGTGCAGGGCCCGCCTGGCGAACAACAAAACACTACTCAGCGATGCCTGAGGAGGGCGACTCGAGGGGCACGGAAGGCGCGCCGCCGCGCGGGCCGCGCTGCCACCAAGGCTTCTCCCCCGACGGCTGCGCCTACAGGAGAAGGGGTTTCGAGAAGGCTCCGAGGAGGCTGCTGGAAGGCTCCTGGAAAAGGCCTCCTCCCGACGGCTGCGCCGAGGAGCAGAGCGCCCTCGAGTGCGCCAGCGTGTCGGCGAGGGGGCGCACGCGCAGCAGCCGCTGGTACTCGCGCTCCCAGTAGCAGAGGGGCAGCTCGACGCCCGCATAATCCTCCCACCCCTTTGGCCACGCGGCCCCGCCTCCGCCGTAGAAGAACCACTCCTTCCGGTAGTCCCAGTGACCCTGCACGTTCCCCGCGAGGCCGGGGAGCAAGTAGCGCCGCGACCCGCACGCGGAGCGGCTCCAGTCGGCCGCTAGCGGCGCGTACACCGCCACGCGCCCGCTCCGCCGTTGCTTGCCGCACCGGCCTCCCTCGCAGCCAGCTCTGTCTGCGACGCTGCCGCAGACCCGCTCCGGGTGGAAGGCGTACTGCATGCACCTCCAGAGGAAAGTGGTGCCCGAGTGGGCGCAGCACGGCACGAGGAGCGACGGCAGCACGGCCACATCGCTCACGCCCTCCGCCGCGAGCTCCGACAGGGACCCGCTCGGCAGTGGCGTCCTGACGGCCTCGCAGAATGGGTGGCGGAGGCGGACGTCAGCCTGTCCGGGCTCGCCTCGCACCGTCGACGCGGGAGGGAAGGAGCAAGAGGGCTTCTGCGCCGCGCGGCCCGCCTCGGCGCCTTCTCGCTGCTTTGGAAGCCGCCTCCGCCGCCTCCACTGCAGCAGCAGACCGCGTCGCTGGCGAAGCTTCTGAAGGGCGGCCTCGGCGCTGGCGATGGCCGCGTCAACCTCACGCAGGCCAACCAGCGAGGAATGGGTGATGTTGGCTGAAGGAGGCGTGGAGGGCGCCGGTGAAGGCGTGGACGGCGCCGGTGAAGGAGTGGAGGGCGCGGCTCCCATACACACGAACAGGCGCCGCACCGAGAAGAATTCAAGCACCCAACGGGAAAGGTTCCACGAACGAAGTAAAAAAACATAGGCCGGCCGGCAAAGAAATTCTTTTGGCACGGATTAAGGCGCGAATCGTCCCACATGCTCCGAAACAGATCAAGAGGCCCGCGAAACAGATCAAGAAGCCCGCCACGCAAGCTGCCAAGAAGCTTCTCCTGCAAAGACAAAGCCAGCTGCCAAGAAGGCTTCTCCTGCAAAGCCGGCGGCGAAGAAGGCCGCTGGCAAGGCGATGCTCTTTGCTCCCGCCACAGGCTCGGACGTGGACCTGAAGGTGCGAATCAAGGCGGTGGTTGCGATACTCGAGGACGTGCCCGTGTCTGACATCAAGGCGAAGGCCGCGGCTGCGCTGCTGCAAGACGTCCTGAAATACTTGTAGCGGCGTGCCGCCTTGCTACCGCTGTCTCGAGAACACGAGATAGGGCGTGGTCATGAGCGTGTGTGTTGTACGCATCTCTGCATACTGCATTCGTGAAGGGGCGACCATGCTAAAAAACACCTCTCTCAGATCGAGTGCAGGTCTCTGCCGCGCTTCCCCACCCGCCCCCGCGCCTGTGATGTGCACAGCGCGCAGGCGCACTCGAACCCGTACCTCCGCCTCAGCTCGCGCCGCCTCTCCTCGAGCGGCGCCTCGGCCGACACGTACTGGATGCAGAGCTCCTCCCCGTCGGCGATGCCGCGGAGGGCGATCGCGACGGCGGCGTTGCTCTCGAGGTAGATGACCTGCACGTTCGGCTCGCAGGAGTGGTTCATCAGGCTGACGAGCGGGAAGACGGCGGAGCCGGTGTGCGGCGGGAAGCAGCGCGAGGAGACGGGCTTGCCGCCTCGCCTCCCGCCTCCTCGGGCCGCGTCCAGCCCCCACGAGAAGAAGACCTCCTCCTCCTCCTCCTCCTCGCTGCTGCTCTCGCCCTCGCTGCCGCCGCTGCCCTCGCTCTCGCCCTCGCTCTCGCCCTCGCCCTCGCCCTCGCCCTCGCTGCCGCCCTCGCCGCCGCCCTCGCCGCCGCCAAGAGCCGCCGCCACCTGCACCCGCTGCAGCACCGGCCACACCGACCTCGCCAGCAGCCGCCTCTCGCCGCTCTCGGCCGGCAGCGCCTCTGCCTCGGCCATGTAGAGGACGAGGGGCGACGGCACGGCGACGCCGATCGAGTTTGCGCGTGACGCCCCGACGCAGCGGCGCCACTCTTGCGGCGTCAGCGCCTCCTCCGCGAGGGACGGCCACCGCTCCGCCGCGGCCGCAAAGCACGCGCGCACCGCCTGCAGCGACGTGTGCAGCGCCGCGTCGCTGGTCGCCGCCTGGCAGGAGCGCGGAGAGGAGAGGCAGCGCAGCGGCAGCAGGTGCGCGCCTACCTCCCGCGCCGCCTCGCTCGCCTCCGCGTACCGCGCCACCGCCTCGCCGACCAGCTGCGCGGCGAGAAGCAGGAACTGGTCGCCACTCTCATCGACGAGGCGGCGCAGGCTCGCCCACCCGTCCGCCCGCCCGCCCGCCCGCTTCAGCCACTCTGCGCACGCGTCGCCGCAGGTCTCGCCGCCGCCGGCTGCGCCGTCGGGGCCGTCGCCGGCCTCTCCACCAGCGCCGCCGAGGGACGGCAGCGGCTGCGGCAGCGAGCAGGACACGCCGTGGTGGTGGGCGAGGCGGCGCAGTTGCTCGGAGCTGCCGCCCAGGACGCGGCCGCAGCGGCAGCAGACTCGAAATATGGCGCCACCGCGCGAGTCGGGCCGCGGCGCCCAGCAGAACGGCTCGTCGCGCAGGAGGACGTCGCCCTCCGCCACGGCCGAAGTGGCGAAGAGGCCGCGCCCCGCCGTTCCGGCCGGGCGGACCGCGACGGGGTGGCCGTCCGCGAGCGCGTCGAGGTAAGCCTGCTGCGCCGCGTCCATGCTGTTGCGCCACACAGCCGACCTCTTTGCCACGCTCCAGCAGTGTTCCGGGTCCGCTGGGCACGGAAGGGCTGGGACGTGCCTGTGCGTCGTGGTCCCGCTCGTCTGTGTGAACATAAGAGGGCTCCCGCGGCGATCAACACCGCAACTCCTTTTCTAATTTCACCACTCTTCTTACGCGCGACGACGCTACAGCCTCCACCAAACCTCACACTTTTACTCACCCTCGGACATGCTTGCAAACGCAAGGCGCACCTTTTTGTTTTGAAGACCTCGATACTTAGCGCACTGCTCGGGCGAGAGCTCAAACACGTGCCGCGTCTCGTCTTCGCCGCCGGCTACGCGCACAGACACAGTACGCGGCAGCGCCGACACGTCAACCCGCGTGTACGTCAGCGACGGGTCCCGCACGCCGCACGAGGCGCATGCGTGCAGCGGCAGCGCGTGCGCCATGCGCTCGTCGCTCCACTCGCCCAGCAGCCGCCGCTTCGTCTCGTCGGAGACGTGCACGCAGCGCTGCAGCAGCGCCGCCGTCTCGTCCTCGGGCCGCTCCAGGTCCATGACGACGTTCGTCGAGGCGTGGAAGCGCGTCTCCAGGTCGATGGCCGCCTGCTCGGCCGCGGCGAGCTTGCCCTGGTCGACGCACATGCCGCACACCGCGTGCGCCGGGCAGCCGCACTGGCCGCGTTGTGGGCGCACGGTCTTGGCGACCGCCGGCGCCGCGAATTTTTCTTTCTTTTTCTGGGACGTGCCTGAGCGTCGTGGTCCCGCTCGTCTGTGAACATAACAAATATTTCTTCTCCCCTTGGTGGGAAAAGGAGCGGGTCTCTACAGAGACTATGGAGAGTAGTTCACGTGAAGACGGTTAGTTAGCCGCTGTCACGACCGTTAGCCGCTGTCACGAAAGGGAGAGCTGTCATGACAGCAAACGACAGCGACAGTGACACCTACCTGTCACCAGCTGTCACCAGCTGTCACCAGCTGTCACCAGCTGTCACCAGCTGTCAGTCACCACAGCTGTCATCAGCTGTCGTTGCTGCTGTCGTTGCTGCTGTCGTTGCTGCTGTCGTAACCATCCCCCGACTGGTCCAACTGTCACTGCTGCCGTAATTGCGCAGCTGTCATTCCTGCTGTCATTGCTGCTGTCATCGCTGTCGTTTGCAGCAGGAGGCTCACCCCGACACAGATAAATTCTGAGGTAGAGGAGCATGAGTTTTGCAAAATGTGTGAGACCGCGTACAAACGCTGCTGTGCATCAGGCGCTGAGAGCTACATCCACGCGCACCGGTGTCTTATTTTAGTCCATGGGGTGTAATGCACAGATGGGTGGGTGGGCGATTGGGCCCCTTCGCTGGTGCCTGTCACTAGGGCTGTGGCTGCCTCACTGTGGCGCTGGCACTGCCTCGCTGTCGCTGACGCTGTCGCTGTCGCTGTCTCGCTGTCGCTGTCACTCGCAGGGTCCCGCGCTGACATTGTCACCGCCTGTCGCTGGCGTTCACTGGCTTCACTGTCACTGTCACTATGGCTGTCACTGTTCCTGGATGCCTTTGACTCCTCCCTGGCAGCTGGCTGTCACCAGCTGAACAAACTCTCTCTCTCTCTCTCTCCCACCCAGCTGTCACCAGCTGTCACCAGCTATCGTTGCTGACGTCGTTGCTGCTGTCGTTTCGCAGCCGCTGTCACGACATATTGACCACGTCGCGACGGAAGACCGTTTTAACCGTCATGACGTGAACTGTCATAGTCTCCTGACGTCCAGAGCTCCCGGAAAGAGAAAAATCAGGCGTTCGCCGACAGGGTGGTCGGACCGCTCACTCTGACGCGGCCATGTGCTTCTTCTGCCCAGACACGCCGCCCGACAAGGTCCAGGCCCTGGGCAAGGGCGGCCTGGGCACCCGCGGCCAGGCCAACGAGCACATGCTCGGCCACGCCAATGACCCGCACCAGTTTGCGATCGGCATGAAGCACGTGTGCCAGGCGGAGCCGGGCTGCTGCATCCTCTCGGGGATCGGCGCGCCGTGCGGCCTCACCGCCTGCTGGGCGCGCAAGGCCGTGCTCGAAAAGTACGAGCAGAACGGGCTCGACGACTTTGTGTGCTTCCAGCGCTACATCCCCAAGTGCTGCTGCATCGACTTCACCAACCAGTGCCCGGGCGGCACCTGCGGCCTCATCCTGGAGGGCTGCTGCTGCCCCATCTTCTCGCTCTCCATCGCGCGCATCCACATGATGGACCGCAAGAACGCGCGCGGGAGCCCCGCCCACCCACCGCTAACCACCTCTGCCGCGGCCCCGCCCGCCGCCCGCCGCCCGCCGCCGCCTGCCCGCCCCGCGCGCCGCCGAGAGGGCCCTCCCGCGCGAGGCTGCCTGCCGCTTCCGCTGCCTGCCCCACGGGATGGCTGCCCACCTCCCGCCCCGCGGTGCCGCCGCAGTTGCGGCCAGACCCGTGCGACTACCAGCTCATCCACTGCTCGAACGCGCTCCAGTGCCTCTCGTGCATAGTGAGCATCGTCGCGATCTTTGTGGAGGAGCTTGAGGAGATCGCCCAGATCATCGACCTCATCGCGGACCTGTTCACCTGCTCCGTCGCCGGCTGCATGGGCGCGCAGGTGCACCACGAGATCAAGCACTCGCTAGTCTTCTTCCACTCCTCACACGCTTAACCAACATGACATCGCGCGCAGGTGCACCACGAGATCAAGAACGACGCCAACGGCATCGTGTACGTCGACGTGGTCGAGGGAGTGCCGATCAACGACACGCCAGGCTGCCGCCCGTCGCCACCGCCTCAGCGACGCACCCCAACCCTCACACCCTGGCCCTGACCCCACCCTACCCCTGGCCCCAACCCCAGGCTCGCCGCCCGTCGTCACTGCCTACGCGACGCGCGTCGATGGCGCTCCGCTCTCGGACGAGATGGCGCGCTGAGCGGGGCGGCGCGCCGAGGGCCCAGCGAGGCGCGAGCTGGACCACCAAGAGCATGCGCGGGCGGCGGACCCCGCCACGAGCGGGCGGGGCCGCCTCGCCCGCCACGGGCGGATTGAGCTGCGCCCGGCGAGAGACCGAGAGTAGGCGCCGGCGAGAGTAGACGGGCGAGAGAGGAGAGAGAGGGCATCCGGGCCAAGGCGTCCCGGGGCGAGCTGCTGGAGTGGTCCTCGCTGTTGCGTTTCAAGACATGGCCACTCCCTGCTAGCTGTGTTCAGCGAGAGAGAGAGGATGACAAGAGTCGGAGAGGAGTCAGGAGGGGGAGAGAAAACAGCGATATGAAGATGAAGTTGAGAGAGAGTTAAAGAGTCAGAGACCGAGATTCCTTTACACGTATTACACAAGAGCAACCACCAATACCAAACATGCAACTCTTTGCACTTTTCGTTATATTGGTTTGAACTCTTATATAGTACTTTAGAGTTCCGACAGGTTCGGCACCGGGCACCGCCTCGGTAACGGTATACAAAATGCGCCTGCGGGCGGACCCTTACAGATCACAGCTTTTTACCCATCTCACAGTAGAGAGGTGTCCGTTTTTATTTATTACAGATCACAGATCACTTAGAGTTGAAGTTGTGAGTGTTGAGCACTTTCTTGGTCCTAGACGATAGAGGCCCTCGCCTTGCGGATTGGGGGTCTGTTGACACTGACTCGCGCCAAAACGCCTAAAGCCTCCTACCGCTTCCCTTCCCGCAGCGAAGCGAAAAAAGAAAAGTGGGCTACGCGCCAGCCCTGGGTTCCGGCTCCTACCCGGATAGGGGGTCTGTTGGGACTGACTCGCGCCAAAACGCCCTACCTACCTACCTATCCCCAGGCCGCGCAGCGAAGCGAAAAAAGATGAAAATAGCGGGTACCTACCTATTGCAGGGCCCTTTTGGGCCAAACAAGACCAACCTACCTACTTATCTGGGAGGGGCCAGCCCGTCAGACAGACCCCCTATCCGGGTAGGAGCGAACCCTGATGCGTGCGCTCGGCCACCTAGAACCAGCTGAGGCCGAGGTGCCAGTCACAGCCCTGGTGGAACCTTTTGAGTGCCAGGACGTGTGAAGCAGGCGATCTACAGAGAAGCTCACGTCCAGCACGCAGCGAGCAGCTAACACGAGAGCAGCGGGAAGCCATGTGCCTTCCGGCCGCGCGCGAGGAGGCGGTCGTCGCGGTGCCGTTCCCGCGCGCGCACTTTCTGCTCGTCCTCTTCGTGTGCCTGGCCGACGGCGTGGTCATCACCTTCCTGGTTCCGATGGTTCCCTTCATGGTCCGCGACTTTGGCGTGCCCGAGGCGCAGGTCGGCTCTGCCGCCGGCCTCGTCGCGTCCGTCTACAACCTGGCGCAAATCTTCTCCGGGCTCCTCTGGGGCCGCGCCTCCGACCTCATCGGACGGCGTCCCGTCATCAGCTTCGGAATAGTGGCGGCGGCGGCGAGCACGCTCGGCCTCGGCGTCGCAACCTCGCTCCCTGCCGCGCTCGCGACGCGGTGAGTCGACTGCTCCCACGCGCTGCTGCGGGAGCGGGATGGCGCCTCTTCACGCGTCTGGCCGTGAACAGGTTCGTCGGAGGGCTCCTCAACGCGAACCAGGCGGTGCTGCGTGCACAGTTGCGAGAGCTCATGCCGGAGGAGCACCGGTCGCAGGCGTTCGCATCGCTCGGGCAGGCTTGGGGGGTCGGCTTCATGCTCGGTCCTCTGATCGGAGGCTCGCTGGCGCGGCCGGCGGCGGTGCTGCCCTCCCTCGCCGGCTCGCCCCTCGACGTGTACCCGTACCTCCTTCCGAGCCTCGCCGCTGCCGCCCTCTGCCTGCTCGGCACGCCGGCGGCAAGGGCCCTCCCGCTCGTGAAAGCCTTCTCAATGAAGTCACTAATCGCGTAGGCCTGCCGGCGGTGAGGGCACTCCCCGAGACAGTATGCGTGGGCGGCGACCAGCCTTCCTGCTTGCCAGGGACCGAGCTTCCTCCCTCCTCTGACCAGCCGAGAGCGGGGGCGGGGCAGCCCGCCGCAGACGCGCCGGGTGCGCCAAGGGGGCGAGCCGTTCGTTCACCGACTCGTTGATGAACCTTCGCAATTACCACAGGCAAGAGGCGGACGAGCCGCCGCGATTTGGAGATGGGAACGGCGCCTTCCTTGCCGGGCCACGAGGCCGGGGAGGAGGGTGCGGCAGCCGAGGCGGCCCTGCCGGGGCGCAGGCATCTCGCCACGGCTGCGCACGCCGCCCTCGTTGCAAAGGCGGGGGAGAGGAGCAGCGGAGAGCGGCGCCGCGGCGGCGGCGGCGGCGGCGACAGTGTTTGGACGCGGTGCTGGGGCGGGCGTTGCTTGTGCCCGGACCGCCGGCGGTGTTTCTTACTGATGCGCCGCTGCTGCTCTGACAACGTCGCCGCGCTGGGAAGCTTGGGGCGGAGGCAGGTGCGGCTCTGCATCGCGCTGATGGCGATCAACCACTTCACCGTCATCGGCACGCGGAGCTCCGCCCCCTCTGAAGTGAGCGTGAACGGCGCCTCTCCACTCGTGCGGCCGTGAACAGGCATGGCGGAGCTCTTCCCGCTCTTCGCCTCTGCCCCAACCGGGCTACGGATGCAGCCGCAGCAGCTCGACTGCGCGGCACGTCCACGAGTCCGTCCACGACACGTCCCCACGTCACGCAATAGGCAGCCGCAGCAGATCGGCGCGGCGCTCACCCCGCTCGCGGTGGCGCTCTGCGTGTGGCCGTTTGTCTTCGTGCGGCTGGAGAGGCGGCACGGCCCCGTGGCGACCCTGAGGATCGGCCAGCTGGCCTTCGCCATGGTGAACGCGACGATGCCTCTCCTGGTCCTCACTGCTCTTTATGCTGCATGAATCGAGGACGGTGTCTGTTCACACCTCCAGCCGTGAACAGGTCCTTTTGCGCGACTCGCCTCTGCTCTGGGTGGGGCTGGTGGCGGTGGGGTTGTGCCGTGGGATTGGAGGCACCTCCCAGCCCTCCAACACCCCTCCGCCCCGCCCCGCCCCGCTTTCCGCCCGCCCCGCCCAGCCCGCCCCACCCTTCCCTTTCCCCCATCCGGCTCGGCTGTGGGTGTGACGGCGCCTCTTCACCACCTCTACCCGCGACGCAGGCAACTCGTCCTTCCCCTCGCTCGCCATCCTCCTCAACTCGATGCTTGATCAGCACCTCGGCGCCATGAACGGGTTCGCCGCCTCGGTCGGCTCTCTCGTGCGAGCCATCGCGCCCGTGGCGTGCGGGTCCCTCTTCTCTGCAGCCTCGTCGATCAGCGAATCGCCCGAGGTCGCGCAAGGCCTCCCCTTCTACCTCCTCGTCGCCCTCCTGCTCTGCGGCCTCGGCATGACGGCAGGCCTGTCGAGGCCGGGCCAACCCGGCTCCGAACAAGGCGCGGCGCCGGCGTCGGCGGCCCGCGCCGTGCGGACTTGAAATCTCTCGCCACAGATCCTCTCTTCCTGCACTGATCTGGTTTTGTGTCGCCTCGTGATAACTGTAGTGAGCGTCGGGCGTGGTTCGACACCGAGTTTGAAAGATCCGTTTGAGATGTGGCTTGTGGGAGAGGCCACAGCTCGCACAGGGCTGGAGGGCGGAGCGAAAAAAAGCAAGCGAGTGATGCCTGTCACATCCCCCCCGTTGAAATTCACGGTCGCTTCGAACTACAAGACCTCGAACAAGACATCGTCAACACGATGCGCGCGATCGCGCTGGTCCCCCCGACTGACCCTTGTGCCGCCAAGAGCAGGCCTCACAGGATCTTCAGGTCACTCCAGTGCTCCCTCGCCCAGCGCGTCGTGGACGCTGTGCACGCTCGCGCACAGACCCCACCACATTACCTCGCCAACCTTACTGATCATGCGAAGGTCGACCGCACGCGCCTCGCACGCGGCACGCAGCGCGGCCGTCGCCTCCGTGCCGACCGTCGCGTCGCCCATGAGGATGAGCCTCAGCTTCGGAACGTGCGGCAGCATTCCGGCGATCGCGAGCGCACCACCGTCCCCGACGGGATTGGAGAGCAGTACGAGCATCTCGAGGTTGTGGGCACAGCCCGTCGAGAGCGTCTCTGCCATCGTCGCCACCTCCGCCGGGCCCCAGCCGTGTCCGGCAAACACGAGACGCGCACACACGCCCATACGCGCCGTGAAGCCCTCGCGGTATAGCTTTGCGACGAGGGGCTTGTCGTCCTTGCCGTTGGTGAAGGAGCGGGTGGCGAGCTCCGCCTCAAAACGTGCCGGTGAGATAGGTGGGTCGCGCCGCAGCTGGCCGCCGCGCAGGAGCGACGCCCAGCATTCGGCCTCGCCCGTGTCGACGCCGGACATGTCAGCGCCGTGCGTGTCGTGCAGGTCGATGACCAAATCGGGGCATTTGTTCCCGATGGACGCCCACGACGACTCGCAATAACACCACCCGCGTGCGTCGTAGCCGGCGAGGTTGGCGACCGGCGGCAGCTCGTACGGCGGGCCGGGATACCCCACCGGGAAGGAGGTCAGCTTGAAAACATGTGTCGCCATGTGTGAGTAGAAGAGGCCGAGGCTGCGCAGCGCCTGTCGGAAGAGCACGTCCTCGGAAGGGAGCCGCCGTCCGCATGAGCCGTCGGAAAGGACGGTGCGCGATTGAGGACGGTGCCATCAGGCGCGCGGCAGGCCTGGTACAGCGAGATCCAGTCGATGAACACGCCCCAGCGGCCGCAGTGGTGCGGCGACTCGAGAAGCAGCTTGAGTGCGCGCCCAAGCCGACGGAGGTTGTACCCGAAGGGGTCGGGATGCTCGGGCTGAAGCCATGTGTGCGAGACGCAGATGATGCGCAAGTTAATACGCTCGTACCCGGCGCAGTGGCCCATCGGCGTCATCATGCGAACCTCCTCGAGCGAGAGGAAGGCCTCGGGCGGAGCTGCCTGACGCGGCGGGAGGACGCCATTGTCCTCGGCCAGCGTGACGAGCCATCCATGCGCTCGAGACGGAGTGCCGCGAGTCGTGCAATCTCCTCCTCTCGGTCGCCACCGCGCAGGCGGCGGAGGCGAGGCGGCTGAAGGCTGTCATTTCGGCTCTCAAGGCGGACGTGAAGGACAAGCGCGCGGCGCTGGCGGTAGACGCAAAGACGGCCGCAATCAAGGAGGCGCCAGCGTCTGAGACGCCTCTCTGGGAATACTCTTCCTCCGTCGGCAATGGCTACGGCCCGTTCGGACCGCAGTGGCGTGGCGCCACCGTCTCTCTCTGCAGTGATGCGGAGCAGGCTGTAGCGGTCAGCACGCGGGTCCGCAGCAAGGCGGAGGAGGTCGAGGCGGGCTGCATGGAGAGGGAGGCGTCGCGGCGCGCGGAGATCACGCGACAGCACGCCGGCTCGCTCGCGCGCCTGAGGGAGGCGATTTCCCATCTTGGACGTCCGGTGTCGAGCAAGGGGTCGTCTCGCTTCCAAGGCTGCCTACCGTCCCTTCTAGGCGTGTGCACTCTCTGAGGAGCACCTCGGGCGGCTGAGCGCAGAGGGGGAGGCGATTGAGCAACGGAAGGCGTCGGCCGCCGCCGCGGTGGAGGAGAAGGAGGCCGCCATCGCGGTTGCCAAGGAGCGGCTCGCCACGCGCAGCGAGCGGCCCGACCGCGAGCGAGTGCACGACGAGGCGCAGTCGGCGCTACAGAACGAGTTGCGCGTGCTGTGCAGCGCAGCCCAGGAGCTCACCCACTCAATCTGCAAGTGCGACGACGACCTTGCCCGCGTTGAGGCTGCAAAGGCCAAGGTGGATGCCTCCCCGCTGATGCGATTGCCGGCCCTCCCCTCTCTGCCGCTCACTCTCTTTCCCTATCCTCCGCCGCCCTCATGATCGCTTGGTAAGCGGCGGCTGGCGCACACTCCACCGTCTTTCATTCCCACCAGGTCACGGATGACCACGCCCGCAAGCTTGCCTCGCTCGAGCTTGAGAGCGCGCTCTTCGACTCTTCCAAGGGTTCCACCACAGGGTGGTGAAGCAACGCTTTTCGACCAAAGCTTTGGTCCCGGCGTCTGGCATCACCGTCTGGGTCTTCCTAAACCTAAAGTACACACCAATGCACTTGGCTCTTGCTAGTCCCGGCCTCACTCGGCGGCTGGCCTCTGCAAATGGTGGCTTTGGTTGTGACATCTCCGGTTCGGAACCGGTCCAGTGGTGGTTCTGCGTTACATCGCTGGGCGGGTCTGAGTGCTGTGGGGGTGGGGTCGCGCAGACTCTCTGCACAGACTGCACTCTCGACCCTCTGCCTCTCCTCCCCGCGGCGTGTACTGGATGGTGAGCGTGTGCCAACGATGTAAAAATCTCGCGGCCGCCGCGTTGACGAACTTGAAGCGTCTGACGAGTGACGTGTCCACCAAATAAGGCTTTAAAGGGTCTCTCATATTAATAGCACCCGGTAAAGAAATGTTCAAGGATCGAGCAAGTCAAAGCTCGGCTCCCCGGACGGGGCGGTGAGCCATGCGCTGTCGCGGTACGCCGCGAAGGGAGGGCGGTCCAGCTCTGCCGTCGCGGTTGCCACCTGCACGCGGCGTGCAGGTGGCAGGGGGGGAGGGTAGGGCTAGGGGGCGGGGTGCGGATGGCTTGTCGTGGGCTGGAAGAGCGCGCGGGCGGAGCAGGGAGGGCGTCGCATCTAGCGCGAGCAACGTCGGCGCCGATCGCGGCGATGAGTTCCCCCGGGCCTGTGGCGGCGGGGGGTGCTTGGCTCACGAGCCCCGCAGGAGAGAGAGGCTATGCGCCGCCGCGGTATTGTCTCAGAAGTGTCTCAGAAGCGCCGTTTGTGAAATCAAACTTTCGCTCGGGCCGCACGAAGCCGAGCAGGAGCAGTCGGAGTGTCTCGCCGTAAAAGTCGGCGGGCAGCGGCGCGTCCTGCCGAAAACGCCGCAAACACCGTGAGGCGCGTCAGCCGAGGAGGTTTGAGGGAGGCGCATCTTCTGGCTACACCTCCGCGATGACATGCGCCTCGACGATGGTCTCGGCGTTCTCCTCGCCGACGAAGGACGGGGAGATGCCGATGTTGGCGACGCACCTGGGCGGGGCGGCGACGAGGCTGGCCACACGGTGGCAGCGGAGGGTCGAGTGACTCAGGCGGCGGCTCGCTTTCGCACGTCGCCGCCGAGTGCGGCCCAGCCTAAGTAGACGCCTCTCTCCAGCTGGACGAGTCGGTCCTGGAAGAGCGAGCACGGCAGGTTGGCTGTCGGGAAGCCGAGCTTGGCGGAGCCACGCCCGTAGCCCTGCAGAACCGGCCCGCTCAGCGCGGGCAGGGCAGGGAGCGGCTGGACGGCCCGAGCCTCGGCCGATGAGCCCATTCTCACTCGTGCACGAACGGGCGTGGCCAGCCGCGTCGGCGAGGCGGAGCAGGCGACAAGCGCCAACATGAATGAGCCGACCTAGACAACTAGACGCGGCACTCTTCGCGTGCGACAACCTAGATAGAGCTCTACAACCGGGCTGGCGAGTAGACGCCCCGCCCACCCAGGGTACCCTCTCCGAGGACCCATTGGGTTCTTTCATTGGGCTCTTTCGAGGGCTCGCCGGGGCTCTGCTCCAAGAGACCTCGAGAGAGCGTGCGTGTGCCTCTACTCGCCAGACAACCGGGGGGGGGGGGGCAGAAAAAGAATTTACACACCCGACTCTCTCTCACAGCAGACAGGCTCGACACAGGTGCGAACTGGCGCGTGCTAGTACTATCACCGGCACACCACAGAAAAAGAATGCTTGGTGCGCACAAGAATCTTGGGGACATCTACAAGGGACCGGCCGGCAGGCGGCGGCGCCGCAGGACGAGGCAGAAGAGAACGACGCGACGATGCCGATCATCCGGCCCGCTGGATGCGCTTCTCAGCTCACCGGCCCTGGATGTGAGGTTGCCGACTGCACTCCAAGTGCTCCAAGTGCGGGGCTCTGTCTCGGCGGCGCACCGGGGCTCTGTCTCACTCACCTGCCGCAATATGTGTCACACACGGCGGCTTCTGCCACCTCTCGATCGGTTCCACTTCTACGCACACCCACCGGGGAAGGGGCGCTTGGGAGCGGGGGCGGGGGCGGGGGCGGGGGCGGGGGCGGGGGCGGGGGCGCGCAGCGCGCGGCGCGCGCGTGCGCGCAACAGAGGGTAGGGGTGGGGAAGACGGCGAGGAGGGGGCGGCGGCGGCGGCGGCGGCAGCGCGCGCGCGGCGCGCGCGACGGAGGGGCGGAGCAGCGACCGCTGCTGTGCCAGAGACGCGCGCTCTGCGCCGCTGCACAGAGCGCGCGTCCGGCAAGGGGGGGCAAGCGTGGCGGCGCGGGACGCGCGGCGGCGGCGGCGAGCAGCCGAGCGCTCCGTGCGCGGTGAGGCGGCCGGCGCGGGCGAGGGCGCGGCGGGTGACGGGGCAAGGGACGCAGCCCACACCCGGCCGTCGCTTTTTGAGCGACGCCTGCGGCACGCCTGCGCAGGGGCCGCAGGGCGGTCAGTTGTGGGGCGAGGCGGTGCCGACCGCGGGCCGGGTGCAAGGCGCCGGCCTCGGCGCCGCCTCGGCGCATCGCACGGGCGCGGCGCGCCTCTGAGCGGGAGCCGAAGGTTTCTGCGGTAGGGTGGGAGGGAGGGAGACGGTGGGTGGTGGGGTGGTTTGACTTTGCCGCAGAGGCCGTCCCTAGCTGTGAACAGCAAACGGGACGGTATTGTGAAAAATTCCTTTATAGAGCAGAGGGGTAGACGAGTAGCGAGTCGAAGTACTCGAAGTCGAGCGAGGTCACGACACCTCGGTCGACACGTGTAAGTGTACGGTGGGCTGTCCTACCGTACCACAACATGGTGCCGTCAATGTACAACGATCATCGAACAAAATCGACGAAAGAGCTCACCATCACTCTCTCTCCCATCACGCTGGCGGTACACAGACAGAACACACACATCGAGCACGCCGCCCAACGCGTGTACTATGCAAGGCGGTGGGAATGTGCTTGCATCGTGTGCAAGTCGCTCATGTACTCTGCGCGCTACCTCCACCCTCCTCACTCGAAGCCCGCCCCCCCCCGAGCCCCCGTTGGGGGGGGCCGGAAGCGGACACACACACTACGGCTTACCGGTATGCAGTCCCTCATGGCCGCCGGAAGACTTGCTTAGCCTTCCACGTCGCGACGTCCCAGCCCGGCCGAGGATGTCTTCGCAGGTAGGCCTGCCGGTCATGGGAACAGTTGCGTTCCGCAAGGCGCACGAGCTGATCGCGCAGTGGCGCTCGATCGACACTGCCGTCTACTCCACCTTCATTCTCGCGGAAAACGGATTGAGCGCAGAGGTGAGCCTCGCCGTGGCCGAGCACATCAAAGGTAGCTGCCAAGACAGGCCAGTGCCGGTGTGGCTCGAAGCCCCAGAGAATCCGTCACCGCACGCAAACGCAACGCAGCTGCAGGTGTGTGCCGCGCGCCACCCGCTCGTCAGAGAAGTGCATGTGCTGCAGTGGGCACGCAATGAGGGATGCGCAGTCGCGTGGAATGCAATTCTGCGCCACGGCTTTGGTCTGGGTGCGCCGTACGTCATTGTCGCCAACGACGACGTCTCTTTCTCCCCCTGGGCCCTCCACGCCTTCCACAGCGCCGTCATGCAGAGGCTCTTGAAGGATCGAGTACCCTCAAGCAATCTGTATCCTGCGCTTCGCGCCTCCATGCCAAACAAGCAGTCTGGCCGGCACAGCGGCGGCAACTGGTCGCTCTTCGCCTTTAGCCGCGGCGTTGTGGAGCGGGCGGGCTACTTTGACGAGAACATATTCCCTCCCTACTACGAGGACGACGACATGACGATCCGGCTCGCGCTCCTCGGCGTCCCCGACCTACGCGTGCGCGAGGCGAGTTTTGTGCACGCGGCCAAGCACACTGGACACGACCAGCTGCCGGCTGCGGATATGGAGATGCTGAGGGCAATGGGCCGGCGCGCCTGCACGGCGGTATACCTGGCGCGCAAGTGGCGCCTGCACGTCAAGCACGACTCGCGCGGCTGGGGTCGTTTCTACCAGGACGACTCGCAGCCGCGGCCGGGCGCCGCAGCAGAGGACTGGGCGTGGCTCGAGTTTCAGCGAGGCGGCGTGCCGTACCGTGCGTGGCCCAAGGCGACAAGACAATCGGTGCTGGCTACCGCCGTCGAGCGGTGGAGGCCGGTCGACCTCGACCGCCAGCAGTACATTCGCAGCGGCGGTGGAGACGTCTGCTACCACTGCTTGTCGGGTGCCACCGCTCCCTCCCCGCCCTGGATGGGCGCGGTGTGCCGCGAACTCTCCGCTCCGCCTGCGCCGGAGGGCAGCGCGCGGGGCACTGCGGGCCTCACGCGCGAGTACAGGTGCTACGTGCAGAGGTACGCCGACCTGCTGCGCGCGTACTGCGACGGCAAGCTCGCCTCCTGCAACTGGCGCAAGGTTGCGAGGCACTGGGAGCGCAGCGGGCGCGCAGAGGGCCGCAGCAAGGGGTGCAACCAGGCCACTGGTGCCCGGTCAACAGCAGAGACGGTGCTCGCGGCGGCGTCGAGAGCAGTTGCCGCCATTGCGAGGCTTCCTTCGCGTGCCGCGTCTGCGCTGGGTGGCGCGGCGGCAAGTGCGGCAGCTCCCCAGCCGGCCAACCTTAGACCGCAGGCGAGCTCGCATGGCTCGACGGCGAACCCACCGGTGCGAGTTGGTGGTGTCCTCCAGCGCGAGTACACGTGCTACGTGCAGCGGCACAAGGATCTCCTGCACGCGTACTGCAACGGTGACTTGGCTTTGTGCAACTGGCGAAAGGTTGCGCGGCACTGGGACGACAGGGGGCGGGCGGAGGGCCGCCAAAAAGAGTGCCTCAATTCGCCGTTCGTCTACCGGGAAGGGCAGTACGAGGCAGCGTGCAAGAGCCTCGCTGGCGCGGCCAATGCCACCGGCGAGTGTCCAAGCGATTGCTCCGCGCTGGGCACTCCTGGCTCCGTGTGCCCGATGGTGCTCGCTTGCGAGGCGGTGAGCGGTGCCGAGGCGAGCAAAGCGCCGCGCGGCAACGTCGCCTGCACCACCGCTCGGCTACCGGGGCTAGGGTTCAATCCATCCATCATCCACGCGCCCACTTGGATCCGCGAGCAGCACGGCTGGTCGGCAGTGCGCGCCCGTGGTCTCCGAGCGGTACTTCTGCGTCAAGGACGCGTCCATGACATGTCCTGGTACTTCCATAGGCACGCTACCTGGCCTCCGAACGGTACGAAATCTTCAACAATCGTGTCTCGTGCCGCAACAGGCGCACGCCGTCAAGTACGGAATCTCCACTCCCCGCTTCGCCCCTCATGCCCGCCATCGCGCGTCCTCACAGCCTGGTGGCGATCAACCCGGTGCGTGACGGACGCTACGACCTCGGAGGGAGGAGGCGCACGCACAACATGTCGTCCACGCGGATGATCCTGCTCGACAAGAAATTCCGGGTCATAACGCGGATGCTGCTCTACGGCGGGCGCTGCGCGGCGGGTGCGCCCTTAGACGCGGATGCCAGCCCCTTTTCGCCTCCGCTGGACGGGCCCTCCCTCACAGGCCTCCTGCAAGTGACCGACCTGAGGCTGCTTGGCGAGGAGCAGCCGCCCTCTGGCGCCATCATCGCCACATACAGCTCGTACATGGCTGACGCTGTGCAGGACAAGGGCGCGTGCTATAACGTGTGAGCGGTACAAACCGAACGAGGAGAGAGGATGAGATGTCTGTGACGTGTCGCTCAGGCGCGTGCCTTGGCACTTGGGCGGGACGGCTCACGCTCTTCCGCGACCGCGAGCTCGCCAACGCAGCGCTGCGGCACATCGGGAAGAATGCATCGCAGGGCATCGCGCTGCTGCAGGGCGCCTCTGCGGCGGGGCATCGCCCTGCGGGCGGAGTAGAGGGGCCGAGGAGAGCAACAAAGGCGGCGACCGGCCTCGAGCTCGAGTACAGCTGCTACGTGCAGCGGTATAAGGACCTGCTCTGGGCCTACTGCGGGGGGGCGCTGACCTCATGCAACTGGAAGAAGGTTGCGCGCCACTGGGAGCGGCGGGGCCAGGCAGAGGGTCGTCGGAAGGACGGGTGCACCGGCGGTGATGGGCGCCGGCTCGGCCAGGCTCCGGGCCCTGGTACGCGCCTGCTCGGGGCAGACACGTTTGGCGGCTGGGGGCTCTTGGCGCAGCGCGCGGGAGATACCCCCACTGCGGTCCTCTACGACACCCACGTCCATGGCGGTGCGCTCAAGATGGGTGCGCCGGCCCGCAGCCGTGCCCGCAGCCAGCGTGTGGCGTGCAGCGCCGGCTCTCTCGCACTGCCTCGCCAATGACGGGTCGCGTGCAAAGCTCGCCTCTCTCCGCCCCGCCCCGCCTCACAGGTGCCGAGCGCAACGCGGGCATCCTCGCGCGGGGGGGCGAGCGCTTGCTCCACTCGCCGGTCGCCATCTCATCGCGTGGCATTACGCATGACTTGTCCTGGAAGCGTCCGATAGGCGAGCTGCTCTACGAGCTAATCGACATCGCGCCCGCGCTCCACTTGCGCTCACTGCGCGACGGTCGCCGCGCCATCCGCCACCCGGTGCCGCCCTCCTTCTCGAGCCACATGCACAACTCGATCCACCCCCTCTTTGTCGAGAGCCTCGGCGGCTGGTGTCGCTCGCGGGACGCTGCCGCGGCGAAGCGCGACACGATTGTTGCACAGCGTGGCGTGGCTCCCGTAGGCTCGGCATCGGCCACACACACTACTCCGACGGCGACCAGGCAGCCTCGCCAAGCCCCTCGCTCCCGCCCTCACATCCGCCCGCCGCCGTCACATCCGCCACCGCCATTGAAATCCTCCCTCTTTGGCAGGTCGCCCTGGAGGCGATCGAGGGCGAGTGGCTCGAGAGGCCGCAACGAGCGACCCCACTGGCGGCCCCACGGACGCGGCTGCGGTAAGCGCTGCGCGACCGCCATAGGCACTCGAGCGAGTACCAGTACGGCGGCTCGTACCGTCACGCCTTCTTCCTCCTCAACGAAAGCACCCTGCGCATGGAGCGGCACTCGCGCGACCTGTGCTTCTCGAGCGTCGAAGACCTCCGCCGCCACCCGCTCTCTCGCAACGGCACGCGGCCGCTCTGCGAGGGGGTGCAGTTCGTCATGAATGCGCTGTTGACCGAGGACGGGTCGAGCGTCCAGCTGCCGTACGGCGTGCAGGACTGCGAGTCCGCCATCCTGACCCTCCCCATCGACTTTGTCGACTCTGAGCTCCTCGAGTTTCGCGTCGTCGAACCCCGGTGACGGCTTCTACATGGACTCTATGCGCGCCCCCCCGCCCCCCGGCTCTGTGGCTGGGTGTGTCGTCCGCGCTGTACAACATCTCGGCATGTGCATGAGAGCACTCCGCGCTGCCGCGCGCACAGGCCGCGGGGCGCGGGCCGCGGCTCTGGCGCTTTTGGGGCGCAATGATTTTCGCGCATCGCGCATTCGCGGCGCTCTCACACATGTGCGCGCTCTGGCCTCTCGTCGCCAGCTCGGCGTCGACCTTGTTTAGACCATCCCCCTCTCGCCCTCACAATGTTCTGTGATCGACTACGTACGCGCGCGTCTAGCAGGCGCAATACCGCACAAGTACTCGTGTAGTAGAACGAAATCTAGATAGATGTGTCTCATGGCAGGCGGCACGCCAGCGTTAGGCTTGCCCCAAACGCGGCACCGTGATGCGCAGGGTTCGCGCCTCGAACGACGCCTCGATACGGCCAACGTCCGCATCGGATGGCAGCGCGACTCTTTCGTCGAGGCCGACCAGCAGCGCGTGCGCCGGGCCGGTCTTGCTGCCTCGGATGCGAAGCGCGCAACCTTCGAGCGCAACGTCGAAATCCTCCTTGCCGACCGCACCCGAGAAGTCTGCAAAGTCGGCTGCCACGACATATCGGTCATCAAGCGAGCGGAGCGCGAACCTGGAACGTCTGGTCTGCGCCTCCCTGGACCCGTCTGGATAAAGCGTCACCTCTCCTTCGAGAAATCCACGCTTCACCGCGAACGCACCCTCCGCTGGTTGGGCAGGCGCAGGCGCGCCCGCCGTGATCACTGCCGGCGCGGGTGCAGCTTGGGCGGCCGGGCCAGCCTCCCGCCGCGAAGCGGCCTCAGCAGCAGCCTTGCGAGCTATCGCCGCCTTCAGCGCCATATCACCTAAAATTTTAGGCCTCGCGGCGATTGGCCTGCACAAGCTTTTCCTACAAGATCCTGCTTGTGCAGGTGGGGACCCTGTCCTTCTCCCACCCCTCGTTTGGCGTGTCCGTTGTATTTATTTATTTATTACAAGCTTTTCCGGCAAACAAAAAGGAAAACAGTAGCGGCCCAGCACTTTGCGTTTCCGGAAATTTCCAGGGAAAACAGAGGGTGTTTGGTGCTCCATTCTGGAAACTCGCGAGTTTCCCTGAGTCTGAGAGCTGGTCTGGGGCAAAATCTGAGGCAAAATTGAGGAAATCGGCACGATACCCAGGCGGTCGCAGGGGATTTTCCAGGTATACCCGGGGTTTTCCAGGTATACCCGCAGAATACCCGGTATTTTGCCGATTTGGCTGATTTTGGGCCCAAACCAGCCTCAGACTCGGCTCAGAGCGGCCCGGAAAATTTGATGGTTTCCCCGGGAAAATAGAGAGGAAAAGAGAGGGTGCTGTTGGGCGACGCACACGAACACAGAGGGACAGTGCGCACCCCGCCCCGCTCGCAGGGCGTGCATCACACAGGTGGGCTGTGTGACTCCTCGGGTTTCTGGGACTCAGAGGTGTGCTAGTCGCTATTCTCCGACAATTCCGACATATCTGACGGGCAGTTCCGCCATTCCCTTTGCAAGAAAATTCTTTTGCGAGCATGTCCGCTAACGACCACCCGACTCGCGAAGCGGCGCTCTACCACCCGTGGACGGTCGGGTCCCCTGCCGAGGGCTGGCAAGTCACGATCACTGCTGGCCACGCGACACTGCCCGACGGCCTCACCCACCTTAGCTCCCGTGCTTTCCTCGAGTGCAAGTCTCTCGCCTCCGTCACCTGCCCGAGCAGCCTCGTCTCGATCGGTGACCGAGCGTTCGACGGCTGCACTTCGCTTGCCTCGATCCAACTCCCTGACGGCCTCACCTCTGTCGGCCGCCACGCCTTTGACGGGTGCTCCTCTCTCGCCTCCATCGAACTCCCCGCCGGCCTCGCCTTGGTCGGCGCCTACGCCTTCCGCTACTGCGCCTCGCTGGCCTCTCTCTCCCTCCCTCCGGCCCTGTGTTGCGTCGAGGTCGGGGCCTTCTATTGCTGCTCCTCCCTCAGCAGCGTCACCCTCCCCGCCAGCCTCGTCTCCATCGGCACGGCCGCCTTCGACGGCTGCTCCTCCCTCGCCTCCCTGCCCCTCCCCGCCGGCCTCGCCTCCATCGGCACCCTCCTCTCTGCTGGCTGCTTCGGCCTGCCGCCGCTTCTCTTCACGCCTCGCACTACTGGACACAGGCAACCACTCCTTCCACTGCTGCTCCTCCCTCACCTCCGTCGCCTTCCCCGCCAGCCTCGCCTCCATCGGCGACGGCGCTGCTCCTGCCACTCCTCCCTCTCCCCCCCCCCTCTAAAGAGCGCCTCTTCACGCCTCGCTCTGTGAACAGGCGCCTTCATCAACTGCTCTTCCCTCGCCTCCGTCGCCCTCCCCGCCGGCCTCGCCTAGCCCTCGGCAACACCCTCGCTGCGAACAGCGTCTCTTCACGCCCGTCACCGACAGCAGGCCTGACCTACCTCGGCAAGACCGCCTTCTACTACTGCACCTCCCTCGCCTCCGTCGCGATCCCCGACGGGGTCGGGCTCCCCCTCCGCCCTCTTCCCGCGACCGCCGTGAGGAGCGCCGCTTCACAGTCGCTCGGCGGCTGTGAACAGGTCTCTTCCATCGGGCCCGGCTGCTTCCGCGACTGCTCCTCCCTCGCCGAGCTGCGCCTCCCCAGCAGCCTCTCCCCAGATGCCAAACACAAGTCCAACCACCACTCCCCGCTCTTCCGAGCAGCGCTCGATCAGCGCTCGAGGGGGCACGTGTGTGAACTGTGTTCAGCTGTACTCCGCCGTACCCGGGCCCCTTGTTGTGCTATGTACTCCCGCTGCCTCAGCTCGCCCGTGTGCTCCCTCCTCTAGGCAGCCTGGTCCGTATTGACGAGGAGACGCTGCCCCCAGCAGTCGCGCGCCTCCTCTTGGCTGTGAGCAGCGCCTCTTCACACCGATGGCTGTGAACAGGACGCCTTCCTGCGCTGCACCTCCCTCTCCTCCGTCGCCCTCCCGGACGGGCTCGAGTGCATCGGAAGGAGCTCTCTCCAGTCTCCGACCGCCCCTCAAACGCATCTCCTTCTCACGCTTCGCGCGCTTGCGAGCTCAGGCACGCCTTCTTCGACTGCTCCTCCCTCCGCCGGCTCACCTTCCCCGCGCACAACTCCCGCCTCGCACAGCTCCAGAACTTGGGCTACCAGGCCTTCGGCGGCTGCTCCTCCCTCGCCACAGCCACCCTCCCTCTCGACGCAGACGCTAATGTGCGCGCGCCCTCGCCTTTGCCCTCGCCGCCTCGCCTCGCCCAGCCGCGCCCTCTACACCCCTGCTGCCTGGAGCGGACAGCCGTCGACCGCCCGCGCCCCTACTCCCTAGGACCTCGACGGCACGGCGGAGATGGTGAAGCTGGTCGCCTTCTGCCCAACCACCACCGTCCTCCGTCTTTCGCCAGCTCGAATGCGCGCCCAGGAGCGGCTCCGGCTCCTCTACCAAGGCGTGCTCGCGTACAAGCGCTGCCGCCCCCTGCTCCTCGGCTGGCTAGAGCGGGCGCAGATCCGGCTCGACTCTTACGGCTTGGACGGTGCCGCGCGCCAGCGAGACCGCGAGGAGTTCGAGAGCGAGTTTGCGGACCTCACGGCGACCTGAGTCTTCTTACTTGAAAAACCGCCGGCGACACGCGCAGCGAACGCCGACCGCAGCGCTTCCAGCGCTAATACTCTGCGAGAAAGGAGAGGGCACAAACGACACAGATTTCGTCCGTCAAGGGGAACAGGGGACACGAAACGGATCGAAAACACAACACTGTGCTCGGTCCTCGGATACAAAATGCGCCTGTGCGCGCAGGCCCAGGCGCTGCGGGCGAACTAATAGGGAATGGGAACGTTCGAACGAGATAGAAACGGACTTGGAGTGCACGGACGTCCTATTCGAAACGCGCAGGGGCACCGCCTCTTCACGCTACGCTCACACGTCAAGGCATGAACAGAACGCGGGGAAGTTCGAGTCGTCTCGTGCGTCCCCGAAGCCTAGCGGGCGGCCCCGCGCGCCCAAGCCAGCAGGCGGAAGCGTCATGACGCCGCTGGCATGCGCGTACCCCGTGGAGACGCACTGGTTCAACACGAGCGTTGACCACTTCAACTTCCGGCATGCCCACGGCGCAGGTGATTGGCGTGGCTCGCCTCCAAAAAAATAGAGACGCACAGCACTGCACACCCTGGCCCGCCCGCAGACCCCGGAGGCACCTTCCCGCTGCGCTTCTCACACCACGGCCCGCCCGCAGACCCCGGAGGCACCTTCCCGCTGCGCTACCTCGTCCACGCGCAGCAGTGGGACGGCACTGCGGTCGGAGTATTCGCGCGCATTGGATCTGTGGAGAGCGCGAGCGTGCCGGCGAGGCGGCGAGCGGTGGCAGGGCCTGGCGCGATACCTGCGCGAAGCGGCGTGTCGAGCTGGCCAGACGGGATTGCCACCAGGTCTCGCTTGAGTAGCCTAGCAGCAATAGAGTAAGGGCGTGAGGCAGTGTTGTGTCCGCGATGTCGCTCGAATGAGGGCGTGGAAAGTGCGTGACCTGGGTACCGAATGCGCTCGTGGCTCGCCTCCGCGCCCGAGCGACAGGCGTGGGGCCTCAGACTGCACCCAGGGCCCGAGCCTCACGGCTGCAACCCTCGGACTCGGGCCGTCACGAGCTAGCCGGCCGCGGCACTTCGAATGGCCCCATGACGTGGCCGCAGGGCTAAATCTATTGTGGAACCAGTCTATTCTCTTTCCGGCGGACGCTCGACCCTTCGTGCCGGCCCAATCATGCTGCTCGCTCTCGCCTCGCTCGCTCCATTTCTCGTCGTCCGTCCCCATCAACTCTCACGAGCTCCCACCTCTCGCAGCGTCGGCCCGCCCGTCCTATCCAGCACCGGAGTTGCGCCAGCGCCGGCGCCGCCACCGCCGCCACTCTCACCGTTTCCGAGCGAGGAGCTGCTGCCGCGGCTGGTCGACGGGTGCGCGGCGGGCGAGCCACTGGCGTCGCTGCTCCCGCGCTGCTTCGACCACCCGCTCGATGGCTTCCAGACCGATGCTATGGCCGCGCTCCTTGACGGCAGCTCAGTCGTCGTCTCTGCGCCGACCGGCTCGGGGAAGACGGCGGTGGCGGAGCTGGCGCTGTACGCGGCGCTGGCGCGCGGCGAGCGCGCCATCTACACCACGCCGCTCAAGGCGCTCTCCAACCAAAAGTACCGCGACCTCTCGGCCGCGCTCGGGCCCGGCTCGGTCGGCTTGCTGACGGGCGACACGCAGAAGCAGCGCGACGCGCCGGTGCTGGTGATGACGACGGAGGTGCTGCGCAACATGCTGCTCGAGCAGGACGAGATGGTCTTCGCGGCGCAGGCGGCGGGGCGGGTCGGAGTCGTCATCCTCGACGAGTTTCACTACATGAACGACAAGTCGCGTGGCACGGTCTGGGAGGAGTGCTGCGTGCTCGCGCCGCCGTCCGCAAAGCTGGTTGCGCTCTCGGCGACGATGGCCAACGCGCGGCAGGTCACTCGCTGGCTCGAGGCGATCCACGGCCCCACGTCGCTCGTCGAGACGTCGCATCGGCCGGTGCCGCTCCGCCACCGCTGCGCCGACCTCTGCTGACCGACGGACCTGTGCATCGCCACCGGTTAGGTGCCGCTGCGCTACCGCTACGCCGACGACCTCGGCGTGGAGGACCTCTTCACCTCTCCCGCCGCCGGGCCGGGAGGCGGCGGTGCGGCGCCGCCAAAGGCGGGGGAGGGGCCCCACCCAGCTCCGCCCCGAGATTGGCCGAGATGAGCCGAGGTTTGGCCAAGATTAGGCGTGGAGGCTCAACCCAAGCCTGCGGCCTGAGAAGCGCGGTCTGGCGCGAGAGGCGAGGCGCGAGCGGCGGGCGGCGGGCGGCGGGCGCGGCGGCAGGCGCGGCGGAGGGCGGGGCGGGGGCAGGAGGGGAGACGAGGGCGGAGGAGGAGGCTGGACGCGGAGAGAGGGCGATGCGGGTGGCGGCGGAGGCGGGCGGGGCGGCGGGTGGCGCGGCGGCGGCGGGTGGGCGGACCCGCGTGCGCAGGCGCGGTCCGAGATCGCGCCGGTCCCTTCGCTGCTGCGCGAGCTCTCGCACAAGGCGATGCTGCCCGCCATCGTCTTCATCTTCTCGCGCGCCGGCTGCGATGCGGCGGCGGAGCAGGCGGCGGCGCTGCGGACTCCGCTGGTGGGTGCACACGAGGTTGGCCGCATAGAGAGCATCGTCGCCGACTTCAAGCGCGCCAACGGTGCGCTGCTCGCGTCGCTCGACGCGCTGACTGCCAGTGACTCACTGCGGTGCCTCCACGGATTAGGCGCGCTGCTCGACTCCCTCGACGTGCGCCGCTTCGAGCTGCTGCAGCTCGGCATCGCGTCGCACCACGCGGGGATGCTGCCGCTCGAGAAGGCGCTGGCGGAGCAGCTCTTCCAGGCCAACCTCCTCAAGGTGGCCCTCGCTGTATCTCGGCTGTATCTCGGCTGTGTCTCGGCTGTGTCTCGGCTGTGTCTCGGCTGTACCTCGCCCACCTGCTCGAGGTGGTCTTCGCGACCGAGACGCTCGCCGCCGGGATCAACATGCCGGCGCGCACTACCGTCGTCACCACCCTCTCCAAGCGCGGCGACAGGGGGGTCGAGCCGCTCGCCGCCTCGGCGCTGCTGCAGCTGGCGGGGCGTTCAACCTCGAGGCGTGCCAGTCCTGTACTTGCTGATGAGTAGGCGCTGCTGCAGATGGCGGGGCGTGCAGGCCGGCGAGGCATCGACGAGCGAGGCAACGAGCCCAACTGCCGCTCCGCGTGCCCGGCTCCACCACGACTCGACTCCTGCTCACGTGACCCACTCAGGCAACGTGCTGCTCTGCCGCTCCGCGTGGGAGAGCGCGCCGGACGCGGCGCGCCTCTCGCGCGGCCCTCTAATCTCCCCATATCTCCCCATATCTCCCCGTATCTCCCCATATCTCCCCGTATCTCCCCATATCTCCCCGTATCTCCCTAGGCGCGCCTCCTCGCGCGGCCCGCCGACCCCATCGAGTCCAACTTTTGCCTCGGGTACGGCTCCGCGCTCAAGCTGCGGCGGAGGAGGCCTCTCTCCGAGTGCGAGTCGCTGATCGCGCGCTCCTTCGGCGCGTACACGGCGCGCGCCAAGGCGGAGACGGCGGTGGCGCAGCTCGGAGGCGTCGAGGAGGAGCGGCGGCGGCTGCGGGCACTGCTGGCGCGCTTCGACCGCTCGTCCGTCGCGTCGTACGCCAAGCTGCAGGGCCGGCTGGAGGCGGAGCAGCGCTCGCTCTCCTTTCTGCGTGCGCAGGAGGCGGAGGCGGAGGCGGAGATGGTGGAGACGCTCCTCGGTTTCGTCAACCGCGGAACGCCCGCGCGCACCTCCGACGGCGCCGCCGCCATCGTCGCCGACGACCCGCCGCCCGCCATCGCGGCGGCCATGCGAAAGGCGGCGGCGGCGGCGGCGGGTGTGGTCGGGGGCGGGCGGCGGCGACGGCGCGGCGGCGTCGAGGAGGAGAGCAGCGTCCGCCCCTGCTCCTCCTCCTCCTCCTCCCGGCCACACCTCGCCGATCTCCCGCCGATCTCCCGCAGGCGGAGCAGCTCGCCCTCCTCCTCCTCGAGGACGGGTCCTTCCGCTGCGCCGCGCCGCGCCACATCGCCGGCCTCTACCCGGAGGAGGAGCCCGCGCCGCTCCACGCCGCGCAGCTCGAGAGGCGCCGCCAGACCGATGGCATCTCTCGGCCTCACTTCGGCCACACACCTCAATCTCGGCGCTCTCCTCCCAGGCTCCGCAGCCTCACCCCGCCGGCCGGCAGCTGGCTGCCCCGCACAGACGGCGCGTGGGAGGCGCCCGCCGCCGCCGGCTCCTCGAGCGGCGGCGGCGAGGAGGGCGACGGAGGCGAGGAGGGCGACGGAGGCGCGCCGCTGAGCGGGTTGGTGCCGCCGCTGCCGCCGCCGCCCGTGTCGGCGCCCGAGGAGAGGCAGCGCGCGCGGGTCGCGCGGGTGGAGGCGCAGGTGGAGGCGCACGAGCTGCACGCGTCGCCGGAGCGGGACGAGGTGCTCGCTGCGGCGGAGCGCGAGGCCAAGCTCGAGGGCGAGGAGGCGAGGCTGCGCCGGAGGGCTGGCCGCGAGGCGGCGGCGGCGAAGCGCGAGCGCTCTGCGAGCTCTGCGGGGGCGGCGGGGTCGTCGGAGGAGGGTGGGGGCGGCAGTGCGGGCTTTCTCGAGGGGGGCGCCATCGCTGGCTTGCTCGAGTCGCTCGGGCGAGGAGGGGTCGGGCGCGAGGTTGCGCCGGCGTCCGAGGGGGGCGACGCGCTCTCTCAGTTCCGCTCCATCGGCGAGTTGCTGCGCTGCTACGGCGCGCTCGACGGCGACTCGGCCGACGGGTGGGAGGCGACCGAGTTTGGGGCGCTCGTCGCGTCGCTCTCGGGCGAGAACGAGCTGTGGCTCGCGCTGGTGCTGATGGAGGCTGCGGCCGCCGAGCTCGAGCCGCCGCAGCTGGCGGCGGTGCTTGCCGCGACGCTCGACGAGCGGCTGCGCCCAAACACTTTTGTGCGGTTCGCGCCCTCCGAAGCCGTGTACGAGACGGTCGACGTGCTGGCGGATCGCGCGGCGGAGCTGCAGCGCGCGCAGATGGCGGCCGGCCTCTCGTTCCCCGTCGGCCTCGACGCGGGCTTGTGCGGGCTTGTCGAGGCGTGGGCGGCGGGCGAGGGGTGGGAGTCGCTCGTCGCAGGCACGTCGCTCGACTTGGGCGACCTCTTTCGACTGCTCCGCCGCTCGCTCGAGCTGCTCAAGACGGTGTCGGCAGTGCCGTATGTCTCCGAGGCGGCCAAGGCGGCCGCGCGGGCCGCCGTCCGAGCGTGCGACCGCTACCCGATCGCGGAGGACGAGCTCATGGCGCTGCCTGAGGAGGAGCCCGGCGGGGGGGAGGAGCCCGGGGAGGCGCGAGGGGGTGCCTAGTCCTAGTGCTCTCGACACCTTCCATTTATTCTCGGCTCTTGAGTATCGATCCACGGTGACAGCCTGTGCGCGAATGTTGAGATCGTGTGTGTGCCCGTACTGTACAACTATACAAAGAGGGCCACGCGCGACAGAGAATCTCTCTGGCCCATGCTCTGCCTCTCTGGCCGGAGAGAGGGGGAAGACACTGGTTTGCGGAAGACACGAAAAAACAAATAATAAATCTTTTATTTAAAACGGTCAAACTCTGAGACGAGATGGAGGATTTTACAGGGACGTGTAGCATGTGCATGTGCATGTGCATGTGCATGTGTCCCGCAGCCCCTGGCCCTGCACGATCCGTAAGGTGTGAGGCAAGGGAGGCGGGCCTGAGGTGCAATGAAACCGGCCCAGTCGCTGCTGCTGTAAGAAGATGGGGGGTGGTGTGTGGGGCACCAGCGCGGCCTCAAGTTGCTTTGACTACTTTACCGTCCGGCTGAAATCCGCCTCCCCCCCCACCCCCCACCCCGTTGCCCCTCCCCCCGCAACGGCGCACAAGAGGCGCTCACCAGCCCTCGCACTGGGACACAGGTAAGAGGCTGCGCTATCTCGTAGATGGAAGCAGGAAGCTTCCATCCCGGCGGTGGTTCGATCCACACAAGCCGAAGGTGAAGGGGTGAGAGGCCCGAGGTCTGAAGCTCACCCAGTGTGGAAGTGAGGAACTGCTCGACCCTCCCGGATCATGCTGAACAAGCTCCTCTTGTAGCTCGATCGGTCACACCGCCATCGCCGCCGACACATCTCACTGTGAGGTAGGCAGGTAGGTGAATGGAGAAGGGGGGACGACACTGCTTTGGCAGCGTGCACGTGCACCTCGCTCTTGTACCGTGTTTGTTATGACCCCCCCCAATGAACACACCAGTGAGGGAGGGCGAGACGACCGAGGGGTCCCGTACCATGCATGCGGAATCGACCCTACCTACCTATCCAGTGCTCAATCAAGTGCTCAATCAAGGTGTGAGGCTGAGGGAACTTCACCAACCAAGACACGACAGACATGCTGTTATTATCTGCGATATATACTCTCTTCTTGCACGCGCAGAGTAGAGGTAGAGGGAGAGGAATTGCCTCTTGTGAAATACGAACCTTTGGCAAAGCAAGGGGAAGGCAGCCGCGAGACCTCGCCGGCGGATGCGTGGTTGCGGCCGCGGGGGCTGGCACCAGCTCCGCGTGGTGGCGTCTGTTCAGATCCCCAGCGAGAGAGCTGGCACAACCGCGGTCACCGTCTTAACTCGCGCCACACCGACCGCCGATGCCTCCGCCGCGCCGGACCGTCACGAGCGCGCCGTCCGCGCCCGAGCTTGGCGCCTCCTGTTTGACCGGTGCCATCGTGATTGCAGTCACGAACCCGCTCGACTCTGTCAAGCAGCGGTGGCAGATCCGGCAGTGCAACAGCGCCGCTCTCGGATCCTTCACGCTGGACATCGTACGGTCCGAGGGCGTCTGGAGCGGGCTGTGGAAGCCCGGCCTCGCCACCAACATGCTCGCTTGCAGCATCTCGGTCGGCACGCGGCTCGGCCTCTACCCATCGCTGCGCGACGCGCTCAGCCCTGACGGGTCCTCGGGCGGCAGCCGGTTCGCCTCTGGCCTGCTCGGCGGCGCGCTCGGCTACATCGCCTCTGCGCCTCTCTTTGCCGCCTCTCGCGTCGCTCAGGCCGAGGCGGGCTTGCTCGCTGCCGACGGCGCCTCCTACCTCACGGGCGCGAGGCGAGGGCTCCCTCCGACGGTCGACAGCTTGAGCGGGCTGCCGACGCTGCGGCAGATGGCGGCGGAGCGCGGCGTGCTCTCGCTCTGGCGCGGCGCCGACGTCCTCGTGGCGCGAGGGGCGCTGCTCTCCGCGACCCAGCTCGCCACGTACGACGCGGCCAAGCGGCGGCTCTGCGCCGCCGGCCTCGCCGACGGCAGCCGCGGTGGACGCGGCTCCTGGCACTTCCTGTCTGGTCACAGCGCTCCTTCCTTGTAGGCCCCGCGGTGCACTCGGCGGCGTCGCTCGCGGCGAGCCTCGCCCTCACCACCGCCATCTGCCCCTTTGACGTCACCTACACCGCCTTCACCGCCGGGCCGACGATCGGCAGGCCGCACGCGAGCCCCGCGGCGGCGGCGAGGGCGCTGCTGCGCGAGGGCGGCCCGGTCGTCTTTCTGCGCGGCTGGCTGCCCCTGTGGGCGCGTTTCCTCCCCTCCAGCGTCCTCACCTTCCACATCTACGAGCAGACGAGGAGGGCGCTGCTCGGGAGCTACTTGCAGTGAGGGCGGAGAGATACGTTTTATTGCCTGTGGGGTCACCGCTCCCAAAACTTGGAGCACTTGGAGTGCAGTCATCAACCTCACATCCAGGCACCAGGGCCGGGGAGGGCTCACCTGAGCCCTGGTCTCGCGGTGGTCTGACAGACTGACAGCAAACCCCGGACAGCGCCTGACAGTGCCCGACAGCCTGACAGCGCTGACAGCACTTTCTCTGACAGTCTGACAGCACGTATCTGACAGCCTGACAGCAGAGCCTGACAGGCGAGGTGACCCGTCGCTGTCAGGCCCTAACGTGACAGCCAGAGCCTGTGACAGCTGCCTGACAGCCCGACAGCACACAGTGGCCTGACAGCAGCGCTGACAGCCTGACAGCAGCACAGACCGTACACAGACCCCGTAGAGCCTCTTTCTTGTGCCCCATGAGGGTGTAACAAAATTACATGCAAAGACATGTAAGTGTGGTCCATGTCCATGTCCATGTCCATGTAGTCATGGGATGGTCATGGGTCTCTCTTTCAACCCTCCCGCCCCACCTCTGCGGACCCCTCTCCAGCACCGGCGGCTGTGCTACTACAAATGAAGCTACCAGCTAGCCTTCTGGGGCCCTACAGTCATATGCCTACGGCGTCTGGGTGGCCGCCGCCGTCTGTGCCGCCGCCGCCGCCTGTGCCTCTGCGCCGCCATCTGCGCTCCCCAGGCGGCCGCCGCCGCCGGCGTGATCACGCCGTGTAGGAGGGGGGGTAGCTGCGTAGCCGCCGGCGTCATCGGCGTCAGCACCCCCTTGATAGTCAGCGCCCTCTTGATAGTGTCATAAGTGTGGCTGATGTGTGTCAGAGCCTGACAGCACCCCGACAGCACCACCTGACAGCACCTGACAGCAACAGCCCAACGTCTAACAGCAGCAGCAGCCTGACAGCTCTGACAGCTCCGACAGCGTCTGACAGCAACACCCGACAGCTCCGACAGCACCCGACAGCTACAGATCACCTCGCCTGTCAGACACGCACCCGACAGCACCTGACAGCACTGACAGCACCTGACAGCTGGTCTGACAGAGGCACCTGACAGTGCCTGACAGTGCCCGACAGCCCGACAGATCACCTGACAGCACCTGACAGCCTGACAGCCAGGGCTCAGGGGAGCTCTGAGGAGCGCACCCAGCGGGCCGGATGATCGGGATCGGGTTGCGGGCAAGAGAGCCCTAGCCCTGGGGGTGCGCGTTCGCAGCGAAAGGGCCGTAAAATAAACACGGGTCTCCGAGGGTTAGATAGTACCGCGCTCCAGAGGTTTCCCCTAGCAGCAGAACGCCCCCTCTACTCGGAGCTAGTAAACACACCAGACCCTAGGACACGCGACGACACACACTCCCCTTGGCGACGGCGTCGCCAATCAACCCCTCCGCCCGGTCTCCCTGCCCCGGCGCCGGTTGGGTCCCCCCCCCCGCTCGGTCCGTTCTCCTGTTTGCTTCTCGATGGTTGTACGGCGGGCGGGCGAGGCCCGACCTCCCCTCCTAGCCTTTTTCGGTTGCGGCCCCGCCGTGTCGTCAAAACTCGTCACTTTTTTGTTTATTTTCCCCACCGCACCGTCACGCACGCGCGTGTGTGCCGTGTGCGTGTGTGAGGGCTGAGGGGTGAGGCGGCGGCCCGGGTCAGGCGGAGGCGCGCGCCTTGATGTCGAGGGTCGGAGGACGGCGGAGAGCTAGGCGGAGAGGCATCGTGCCGGCAGCCGCGCGGGTGTAGGGCTCGCTCTCGGCACAGAGCGCGGAGCGCTGTGCTAAAATAAAATATTCTTACCTTCAAGCCCCCCTCCGAGACTAGGGACAGTCACACCCCAGTATCAGACCAGGGGGAGTGCCCCCCGCCCCCACTTGCCCTGACTGCACAGGATTGCGTGCCCCGAAAACGGCGACACATAGCGGGGGACACTGCGCAAGGAGAGGGTGCGAAGCCAAGGTTGGGGTTCTAGGTGGTGGGACCATGAGGGGGGGAGGGCGGGGTCCTGTGGGGGTGAAATGTTGCGCGGCGAATTCGAACCTACCCCCTCGCCGCGCCGATCCTCACGCGGAGGGTAAAACCCTGTGGGACAAAACCCCTCCGCGGTCGGCTGTCTTCAGAGTGGACCCCCCCCTCCCCAGCCTCCCCTGTTCGTTTTCGCACCCCCCCCCCCCGCTCCCCATCGGTGACTCGCGAAGGACACGGACACTCGGGGTGGGGGGGGAGGGGTCCCCCAGAGAGGGGGCTTTGGGGCCTTGTTGAGTCAATCTGCCCCCCAGAGGGGCCTTCTCGGGTCGACCTCTGGTCGATCTCATGTCGATCTCGGGTCGATCTCGGGTCGATCTCGGGTCAATCTCGGGTCGATCTCGGGCCAATCTCGGGTCAATCTCGGGTCATATTCGTCCTGCTCGCCTCGCGTTATGGTATTGTTGGTTATTTTGGGCTGTTGCAAGGGAGCGCTGTGCTAAACGCCGCTGTCGCACTACTTGTCTTCGGCAAGAAGAAATCCCATGTGATTGCCAGCAGCCCGCGCCGGGGTCAGCAAGAAAAGAACAGAGAGAGCGCGCGTCGCCTGCGCCGTGCCCAGCAATGGCCGATGCAGCGACGACTCACACGATTCACGGCGTCCTTCATGAAGCTGAGCGCTGGGCGCCGCCCGCGCGCGCGCCCAGCGAGCGGCACGGGAAGTTTCTCTCCCACTCATCCTTCTCTGTAGTGTTTCATAAATAAGTCTCATCCAGCAGCAGCATCTGCACCAGCAGCAGCACCAGCAGCACCAGCAGCAGCAGCAGAGAGGCGCCAATTTTGAGATTGCCCGAGACAGAAAGAAAGAAAGAAAGAAAACGGACAACCCAAGGGAGGGATGGGAGGACGGCACGCCGCCACCACACAGGGATTTGGGCACGAAAGGCATCTCGCACGGTTTTCTTCCTTTCAACTCTCCTGCTGAGTCGTCGCTGCATCGGCCATTGCTGGGCACGGCGCAGGCGACGCGCGCTCTCTCTGTTCTTTTCTTGCTGACCCCGGCGCGGGCTGCTGGCAACCACCTGGGATTTCTTCTTGCCACAAGTAGTGCGACAGCGGCGTTTGGCACAGCGCTCCGCGCTCTGTGCCGAGAGCGAGCCCTACACCCGCGCGGCTGCCGGCACGATGCCTCTCCGCCTCGACATCAAGGCGCGCGCCTGACCCGGGCCGCCGTCGCGCGTGCCTCGTCCAGTCGCGTTCGCCGTCTCCCAGCGCGGCAGCGGCGCCACACCTCTCCCTCACCTCTCTGCGCGCGTCTGCACCGGCCGCGCCGCGCCTCCGTCTCGCCTCTGCCTCGCCTCTCTGCGCGCGTCAGCGTCTCTGCGCGCATCAAACCTCTCTGCCCGCCCCTCCGCAGCGGAAGCTGTCGTCGCGGTCGGACCGCGTCAAGACGGTCGACCTTCACCCGACCGAGCCGTGGGTGCTCTCCTCCATGTACAACGGCCACGTCTTTATCTGGAACCACACGACGCAGGGGCTGGTCAAGTCGTTTGAGGTGTCGCCGGACCAGCCGGTGCGGTCGGCCAAGTTTGTGGCGCGGAAGCAGTGGATCGTCGCTGGCTCCGACGACATGCAGATCCGCGTGTACAACTACAACACGCTCGAAAAGATCAAGGCGAGCTCGCCCACCCGCTGCAGAGGGACGTGTGCGGCTCTCCGCCAGACGCAAGACGTTGCGGGGGGCTGACTCGTCCGCTGGCACCCGAACCAGCCTGCTTCACCGTCTCTCTTCGCCACACTCTCAGGTGTTTGAGGCGCACTCGGACTATATCCGCTGCATCGCGGTGCACCCGTCGCAGGCACAGCAGCCTCGCCGCTGCCGCCCGCCCCCATCCACCTCTCTCCTCGCGCTATCCGTTGCTGCCCGTCCCTAGCCACCCCACTCCCTCCTGCCTCCTCCCTTCTTCCTCCCCACCACCCTCACCGCCGCCCTCTCGCCGCCGCCGCCCTCACCGCCGCCGCCCTCTCGCCGCCGCAGCCGCTGGTGCTCTCGTCGTCGGACGACATGACGATCCGGCTGTGGGATTGGGACAAGGGCTGGGCCAACCCGCTCACCTTCGAGGGCCACACCCACTACGTCATGATGGCAAGCCCGCCGCGAGGAGGGCGGCGCCTGCGGGACCGCCTCCTCCTCACACCTGCGGCTGTGAGAGCAGGTCGCCTTCAACCCGAAGGACTCCAACACGTTCGCGTCTGCCTCGCTCGACCGCTCGATCAAGGTGTGGGGCATCAACTCGCCGCAGCCCCACTTCACGCTCGAGGGCCACGAGAAGGGCGTCAACTGCGTCGAGTACTTTGCCGGAGGCGACGCCGGCCGCCGCACCTCCGACCCGTTTCTGACGCTCTTGTTGAGACTCGGGCTGTTCCTCTTGTCAGGCGACCGGCCGTACCTTGTCTCGGGAGCCGACGACCAGACGGTCAAGGTGTGGGACTACCAGACCAAGCAGTGCGTGCAGACGATGGAGGGGCACAGCCACAACGTCGCCGCGGTCTGCTGCCACCCGGAGCTGCCCATCATCCTGTCCGGCTCCGAGGACGGCACCGTCCGCATCTGGCACGCACACACGTACCGGCAGGAGTACAACTTCAACTACGCGTACGAGCGCTGCTGGTCCATCGCCGCGCTCAAGGGCACAAACAACGTCGCGCTCGCGTACGACGAAGGCGCCGCCGCCGTGCTGCAGGGCAGCGAGCAGCCTCTTGGAGCCGCCTAGGAGCCCTCTACCGCCCTCCCCGTAGGCACCATCGTCGTGCAGCTGGGCAACGAGGAGCCGATCGCCTCGATGGACTCGAGCGGCAAGATGATCCTCGCGCGGCACAACGAGATCTCCGCCGTCGACCTCAAAAAGGTGGAGGGCCACGAGGTCGTTGACGGCGAGCGGCCGAGGGTTCCCGAGTCGCTGCTGCCGAGCCCTCCCGGAGCCCTCCCGGAGCCCTCCCTGTAGGCGAGCGGCTGATGATCCCGTCCAAGGAGCTCGACGTGTGCGAGATCTACCCGCAGTGGCTCTCGCACAACTCCAACGGCCGCTTCGCCGTCGTGACGGGCGACGGCGAGTACATCATCTACACGGCGCTCGCGTGGCGCAAGAAGGCGTTCGGCTCGGCGCTCGACTTTGTGTGGGCGCTCGACTCGGGCGACTACGCGGTGCGCGAGTCGGCGGTGCTGATCAAGCTCTTCAAGAACTTCAAGGAGACGCGAACCTTCAAGCCGCCCTTCCAGGCCGACGCCATCTACGGCGGGGCGCTGCTCGGCGTGCGGTCGGGCGAGGTGACCTTCTTCTTCGACTGGGTCGAGTGCCGCCTCGTGCGGAGGATCGACGTGCAGCCCAAGGAGGTGAAGTGGTCTGAGAGCGGCGAGCTGGTCGTCCTCGTGTGCGAGGACTCGCTCTTCCTGCTGCGCTACTCGCGCGACGTCGCCTTCGCCGCGCTCGAGTCGGGCCAGCCGATCGGCGAGGAGGGGGTGGACGAGGCGTTCGAGCTCGTGCACGAGGTGAGCGAGCAGGTGCGCACCTGCGTGTGGGTGGGGGAGTGCCTGGTTTACACGACCAAGGCGGGCCGGCTCAACTACACCGTCGGCGGCGAGGTGGTGACGCTGCAGCACCTCGACCGGCCTCTGCACATCGTGGGCTACCTGCCAAAGGAGAACCGGATCTACCTGCTCGACCGCGACTACGCCGTCGTCTCGTACCAGCTGCTCCTCTCCGTGCTAAACTACCAGACCGCCGTCGTGCGGCGCGACTTTGTCGAGGTGGCCGCGGCCCCGCCCTCACCCCCCCCCCCGGGAGGCCTCTCGGAGCCTTCTCGGAGCCTTCTCGGAACCGTCTCCCCCGCAGGCGGCCGCCATCCTGCCGTCGATCCCGCAGTCGGAGCACAACCGGATCGCGCGCTTCCTCGAGGCGCAGGGCTTCAAGGAGGAGGCGCTCGCCGTCGCCACCGACCCGGAGCACCGCTTCGAGCTCGCCGTGCACTTGGGCAAGCTGCAGACTGCGTACGACATCACGACGCAGCAACCGTCCGAGGCCCGCTGGAAGCAGCTCGGCGACATGGCGCTGCACGCCGCCGACCTGAGGCTCGCCGAGGAGTGCCTCGTGCGCGCGGCTGACTTGGGCGGGCTGCTGCTGCTGTACTCGTCGACGGGGCACGCCGAGGGGATCGACAAGCTCGCGGAGCTGTCGCGCAAGAAGGGCAAGCTCAACGTCTCCTTCCTCTGCTCCTTCCTGCGCGGCCGCCCAACAGAGTGCCTCGAGCTGCTACTCTCCGCCGGACGCGCCCCCGAGGCGGCTTTCCTCGCGCGCACGTACACGCCCAGCCAGACGAGCCGCATGGTCGGCTTGTGGAAGGAGCAGCTGCGCGAGGTGAACCCGAAGGCGGCCGAGTCGATTGCTGACCCGGCCGACTACCCGAACCTCTTCGACGGCCTCGAGCTCGCCCTCAAGGCCGAGGCGTGGCTCGGCGAGAACCAGCTGCACGAGGCATGCGCCGAGACCCGACCGAGATCGCGCCGAGATCGCACTTTCCTCCCGCCTTTGCGCCACCTCCCTGTGCCCGCGCAACCCACACGCATGGGCGCGGCGCCTTCATCCGTGGCGCAGAGGGGCCCCTTTTGTGGCCGCGCGCTTCCCTGACTCGAGGCGCTGCCACACCCATCGCCTCGCAGTCCCTACCGGCCGCGGCCACACCCACCACAGACGCACACCCGCCCGGCCCCTCGAGACACACGCGCAGCGCCGCACCGCACCGTACCCACGCCCCGTTTCAGCCCCTTCCCTCCCCCCCCAGGCGCCCGCCTCCATCTACCTCGACCACGCGGCGGACAACGAGTCGGACCTGCTGGAGCACGTCAAGCAGCTCGAGGCGCAGGGCGAGGCGATGCCGCCGCCCGAGGCGGAGGCGCGAGATGCGCCCGAGATGCGCCCGAGATTCGTCGCAAACTCGGGCCGCCCCCCCGCCCCGCGCGCTCGCCACGGCGCCTCTCACGCGTTGCGGCGCACGCGTCCCTCGCGCATCGCACTCTCCTCCCTCGCGCCCCCTTCTTTCCTTCACGGCGCCTCCCTGCACTCCCCACGCCACTCCCCCCCGACTCACCCTCGCTCCACCGCCCTCGCAGGCTGCTCCTGCAGAAGAGGCTGCACCTGCAGAGCCGGAGGAGGAGAGTCCGCTGGGCGACGAGCCGGACGCGGCGGCGGCGGCGGAGGAGGAGGAGGCGGCGGCGCAGGCGGCGCAGGCGGCGGCGGAGGCGGAGGCGAAGGCGGAGGCGGCGGCGGCGGCGGCGGCGGCGGCGGCGGCGGCGGAGGCGGCTGCACCCCCGCCGGAGGAGCCGCCGGAGGAGCCGGAGCCGCCGGCGCCGGAGCCGGCGGCGGAGGGCGGGGCGGAGGAGCCGTTTGAGGAGGCGCTAGAGGGGGTGGGGGAGGGGGAGGCCGCCGCGGAGCACGGCGCCTCCACCGACCTCGACGCCGACCTCGACGCGGAGCTGGACGCCGAGCTCAACTCCTTCTGAAAGGTTCGAACCGCCGCCTTGGGTTGGGGTCCCGCCGCGCCGTGCCGCCGCCGCGTCTGGTTGATTTGCCGCTGGCCTGCTCGGGGCGCACCCGCGATTCGATGTGAATCGCAGGGCGCGGCCGCTGTGGCCGCGAGGCATTCACAATCGTGTCAGTGTGGACGCACGACGCCATGATCTGTGTCTATGTGAGCTCGCGTTTATTTTGAGTATCAGAAACGGCATATCAAGGCTCATGTTGTGTGTGGAGTGTGCCGTGCTCGGTGCTGGCGGCTGCTGGTGCTGCCGTGCGGGCGCGTGCGGCTGCGCTCTCACCTCATCGTCCTCTGGCGGAGCGCGGAGCGCGATCGCTAGATAGAGCCGTAGGTAGCCCGTACACACCGTACAGAACATGTACATGTGCAGCTTCGTGCACACCGGAGCTCTGGCTATGGCCTATGGGAGTTTTTGCTTCTCTTTTCACGGCACTAAAAGAAAGAAATAAAATGGGCACTGCCAGTTGCGCGCCAGGCCTCTGGGGGGAGGCGGGGGCCCCCGGAGGCACCGTGCGCCGCGCCGCAGTGCGGAAACGGGGCCCCGGCTCCACTAGTCTCCACTAGCACCGACTTCCCGATTAAGCTAGGTTAATCAGAGGGCAGATTTGGAAATATCTCGAGGAGTACATACAGATAGACCCTCCGACCATCAGAAAACTCCTACCTGATCGGTCGTACTGACCGCCGACAGATCACTCCAGACAGCAGACAGGCCGACGTCTGCACACGGCCGGCCGGGCGAGAGGCTTGACACGATCCGACCCTGCGACCCTGACGCTGCTGCTCTAGCTATCAGACATGCGCTGCTGACTGCTGCCACAATGTGCGACCGGTGCTGACCCACTTGGCGGCCTTCCCGGTCAGTGGTGAGGCGCAGTTCAGAGCTGTCGATGGCGCGATGCCGCACTGGTCCCACATCAGTGACACGAGACCACCACGTTTGCCGGTCCAAGAGAGAGGCACCGGCGCTGTCCTGAGAAGCTGCATGGTCCCTCTTGACTGCCCATGCGCGCGAGGCTGTGTAGGCATAGCCTCGAGAGTGCCAGCAGCCAATCCGAGGCAGTTTGTGACGCGCATTGCGTCAGAAGCGTGCACGCGCTGGAAGGACACCTTCCTACTGGCCGTACGATCAAGTCGTCACTGAATGTGCTGGATACTAAGGCCGCGAGCTATGCAGGCGGTCAGTTGAGCAGCATGGCACGGTCAGCAGCGCCGAAAGGATGTCGCAAGGCGTGATAGCATGGCCGCAAGTACGCCGAGTTCCCATGAAAACAAGTAAAAAATCGCGCGAAAAAAGAATAAATGTCAAAAAAATCGGCGCCTGCGGCGGGCTGTGGGACCCCATCTCCCCCCCGCATGGGTACCCCCTAGGGCCCTCGCCTCCCCCCAGAGCGCCAGGCGCGAAATTTTTGACCGCGCAGCGAATATTGTCACACCCGAGACCTGTTCCTTTTTACACCCATCTCACAATACCAATTGATTCACGAGGCTCTGGCAAAAGTGCGTGTGCTAAACATGGGTAGGGTGCCCACAGGGCCCAAAAAAGAAAGTAAAAAAGAAATGGCGCAAGCCCCATCGCAGCACTTCGTGTTGGAGAGTCGAGATATTGAGATTGTGACTAGGAGGGTGGGACGCTGGGGATTCTCAAAGGTATACCCTTGGAATGGCCGGATCCAGCCTTGAAAGTACGAGATCGCGCGCGCTTCGCGCACAGCACCGCCTGTTCTCCGCGGCTGAGTGACGACGCGTGCCGTGTGCCAGCACCAGGCCAGCACAGTTGGGCGCGCGCGGCGCGACGGCGCCCGCGAGGGAAGGCGCGGGTGCAGCGGCCGCCGGCGGCTGTACCGCTCGCCAGCCGGCGCAGCAGCGGCCAGCGCAGCGGCCGCCGGTGCAGCAGCCAGAGCAGCTGGTGCGCGCCTTGCGAGGCGAGTACTGCCGCCTGGCCGCCTCATCGAGCCGCCTCAGTACTCGCTCCAACTTTGCGAGCCGTGCGCGCGCCGAGGCGCGCGCGGCGCGCGCCCGCCCGGCTGCCAGTAGGAGGCGGCGCAATATGGCCATAGTACAGCCCTTGAGGAGGAGAAAGAGGCTGGCTGGCAGTGCTGTATGCCGCCGAGGGGCAGTTTTGGGTGCTGAGTCACGCCCAGGGGGCTGCAGAAGGCGTCCGCAGCCGGGACAACCCGCCCCCCCAGCCGAGGCCGGTCGAAGCCCACTTGAGTGCAGCCATGAGGAATCCTCTTGGTGCTCCTGGGCCGTTCAAAGGTCGGGCGCGCGCCGATGGGGGGGGGGGTCTTACTTGCTCCACACCGAGCGCCATCGGTCCGGACCGGTGCACTCAATGAGGGGAGGCCTGCACAAGGTCTGTGCCGCGGCCGCTCGGCGCCAAGTGCAGTGTCATGCGCTGGAGCGACTCACAATGGGGAACCCTCGTTTCCTAGTGACTCGGTCCCCCAACGGAAGAGGCCTCGCTCCTATTGGAACACTCCAACATCAGATTTGCCTCCACGGTCGTGCGTCCCTTTTTGAGGCGGAAAGCTATTTTCTTTTGGGTCGTGTGGGCACCCTAACATGGGCGATCCGGCGCTTCTATCGATTGGACGGACGAAATGATCGCGCGGAATCCGGAAAAAGCGGGGGCTCACCAGAATTCCTAATGCTGAGCCTGCTCGGCCTGCCATGGCCGATGGGGGCCCCGCCGCAAACCCCTCCCACCTTCCCAGCGGGCGAGTCAGCCAGCCCCGCGCGGCCGAGCAGCGAGCGCCTCCAAGCGCGGCCGCGTGCATCGCCGGTAGGAAGACCGAGGAGCCGCTCTACGGCGCGGCGGCCCCGGTGGCGGCGGTCGGGCCGGGCTCGGCGACGACGCCGAGCCCGCCGACCCCGCCGCGTGCCTTCCGCAACCCTCGGGCCCTCACCCGGCCACCCATCGGTCGGGAAACCCGCCCCGTCCCCCGTGACAATCATGGCCCGTCCCACCCCACCCCGACATCCCCACCCCACAACCCCGCTCCAAACAAGAATTTTACAAACTCCCTCGCACGACACTAGGCACGGGACTGGCGCGCACTGGCACTAACACAGGTACACCACGGGAGCCGCCTAAGCGACTCCCGCGAGGACGGCGAGGCACTTAGCTCCGTGCACTCGACCGCCCTCGCCGCAGGCAAGCTCATTCACAATCTGCTCTGCGATGGCCGTGTGAAGAACGACTGAGATGCGCTGCTTCTGCAGCCCCAGCCAGCTCTTGGTGGTCCAAGTCTATCACGACTCTCCAGATAGGTGATAAGGAACAAGAATTTTACAACAAACCGGAACAAGAACCTCGCATACGACACCAGGGAAACAGCTCCCCCCCCCCCCCCGCGCCTCTCGTATCTGTTATCACCGGCTCGGCATACACCATACTCGTTTATTCACGACGACCCCAGGGAACCGTGGATATATTCCCTAGTTGGTGTGAATGAACAGCGCCTCTTGGACTCCAACCCTTTTCCTGGCTCACAAGCCAAAGATGTTCACGGTCCCCCACAGGGAGGGCCGGAGCCCCACCCAGGTACTCTTTAGCTGTACTCGTCTAGGCAGGGGTTGCTTGGACTCATGCCCGGCAGGAGGGGGCAAGCTAGAGGATCTCCCCCCCCGCCTGTCTGTTTTCACCGCTCGGCATACTCGTTTATTCACGACGACCCCAGGGAACCGTGGATGTTTCCCTAGTTGGTGTGAATGAACAGCGGAGGCGAAGGCGGAGGCGAACGCTCGGCAGAAGGAGCGCGTCGCTGCCATCCTCGCGGGCACGGACGCTGCGGGCGCGGGCGCGGGGGTGGAGGAGGCGCTCAATTGCTGGGAGGAGGGTGCGTACGAAGCGGAGACGCTGGAGACGCTCGCCGAGTTCGGCGATTGAGCGCCTCCCTCTCTCTCCGGCTGCGCGCCTGACCGGTGCGGCCTCCGAGTCGGCGTCTAGCGCGCGCGATAAGGTTTTTGCTCGCCTTCCCTGGGACCCCGTGTTGCATGTCACTGTCATCACTGTGCGATTTCGGGGCCCGGGGTTGTGCGTTTACGTGAATGAACAGCGCCTCATGAGCATGAGATGAGCATGATGAGCGACACTCTCATGGGTCCAACTCGGGTCAAGCTGGAGGATCTGCCTCAGCGGCCCACACTCCCGACTGCGCTGCCATCTAGCCGAGTGCTGCGTCTGTCAGCGGGGCAGATGGAACTGCTTGGCGGCGGCGCCGAGGGACAGCGGCGCAGCAGCGGCACGCCGCCCGCCCCGCTCGGCGTGCAGCTCTGTGGGTGGGGAGGGGCGGCAGGGGCAGAGGATCCGGCGCCGCTGGAGGAGGGAGCGGCGGCGGCGGCGGCGGCAGCGGCGGCGACAGCAAGGGCGGTGTTGGCGGCGCGTGCTGAGCCGGCGGGAGCCGAGCCGGCGGCCACGACGCCCGCCTTGACCCCGGCGGTGGCGACAGAGGCGGAGGGGCTGAAGCTGCACCTCTCCAGCAGCAGCGCCACCGGCTACAAGGGCGTGCGCGAGCATCTCTCTGGCCGCTTCGAGGTGCGGTACACGGCGAACGGGCGGCCGGTCACCTTCGGCTGCTTCGACACGGCGGTGGAGGCGGCGGTGGCGTACGCGCGGGCGGTCGAAGAGGTGGCGGCGGCGGCGACAGCGGCGGCGGCGGCGACAGCAGGGGCGGTGGTGGCGGGCGCTGAGCCGGCGGGAGCCGAGCCGGCGGCCACGACGCCCGCCTTGACCCCGGCGGTGGCGACAGAGGCGGAGGGTTTGAAGCTGCACCTCTCCAGCAGCAGCGCCACCGGCTACAAGGGCGTGCGCAAGCTGCCCTATGGCCGCTTCCGAGCGGAGCGCAGGGTGGGTGGAAGGCTGGTCACCCTCGGCTGCTTCGACACGGCGGTGGAGGCGGCGGTGGCGTACGCGCGGGCGGTCGAAGAGGTGGCGGCGGCGGCGACAGCGGCGGCGGCGGCGACAGCAGGGGCGGTGGCGGCGGGCGCTGAGCCGGCGGGAGCCGAGCCGGCGGCCACGACGCCCGCCTTGACCCCGGAGGGCGAGGAGGAGGGGGAGGACGAGGACGAGGAGGCTCTGGTGGCGGAGACACGCTTGTCTGCGCCGCCAAAGAGCTTCGAGTGGGACGTGACCAACTACTCGCTGCTGTCTGGCACGGGGTCGGAGGCTGACGCGGCCGTTCTGTGGTCGCACTCTGGCCGCTCACGCTCGGCCTCGACCTGCCAGCTCCGCGTCAAGATGGAGCGGCCGCCGCTGCAGGTGGGCGCAGCCCGCGCGCGAGTCACCCTTTACCAGCTGTCGTGCGCTGCGCGAACTGCCGCCGCGTCGAGACGCGCAGCAGTCAGCGGATGCGCGGCGCTCTGCTGGCGCCTTCTGCTGCGCCTGACCCTCATCGCTCACACACACGAGTCTCTGCCTCCACCGCGCAAGCCACCGCCGCGCAACCGCCGCCGCCGCGTCGAGACGCGCAGCAGCGTCCGGCGGAGCCTCACCGGCGCCCCTCTCCCCTCTCTCTCAGGAGGGAGACCCTCCCTCGTGGGCGTGGCACAAGAACTGCACGCTGCCGCGCATCGCCGTCGAGGCGCGGCGGCGACATGGAGGCTGAGGCCCCGGCGACCCGTGCCCCGAGCCCTTCTCGGAGCCTGCCTGCAGGTGTGGCGCGAAGACGGCGGGCCGCTGCCCGAGCGCGCCGCCGTCCTCCTCTCCGCCGTCACCGTCGACGTCGCCTGCGAAGCGGCCACCTCGTGCGGGCTCGAGGGAGGCACGCTTCGGCCGCTCGTGTCGGGGTCAGCCTCCTTCACCTCGCTCTCGTTCAAGACGACCTCGTACAACCTCAAGGGGCGGCACATGCACCTGATGGCGTCGCTGCTCGTCCCGCGCGTAGAGGCGACCGCCGCGGTGACCGACGTGAGGGCGCGCGCCGCGTCGCCGGCGGCTGCGAAGGCTGCGATGACGCTCGCTGCTGGCGCCGCGGGCATGCCGCTGCCAAGCACGCCCGACGCGGTCGCGCCTGGGCGATGGCGCCGGTGACCGACAGGTGGCAGCGTCCACTTCACGGCCGCAGCGTGTGGACAGGCGGCCGTGGTGATGGTCCAAGCTCCTCCGCAGACGGACCCGCAGCGGCTGAGTGCGGCCATGTGCATCGCGGCGGCGCTCATCTCGCCGCCGATCCGGGTGGACGCGAGGAAGAGGACCCCGAAGGAGCGCGCGGGCAGCAAGGCGGCGGGCGGCGGTGCCAGCCGGGCGGGGGGCGGGGGAGGCGGCGGCGGCGGCGGCGGCGGCGTCGCGGCGCACTTGCCGTTTGCGCCGGACAAGCTCGACCGCGTGCTGGAGAAGGTTCGCAGACACTTCGCACGCACTTGCTGGGCACTGCCCAAGCCACGCTCCTTCCCACACCGCGGCGACCCCCTTCCTCTCGTAGGTGGACAAGGGCCTCGTGCGGCAGCCGATCGACAACTCCATCGATGGGCTGCGCAACTACCTCTCTGCGGTCAACATCCGCAACAAGTGCAAGCACCCGCTCTTCCTCGCCCTCCGCTTCGACGCATGCATCGGCCTGCTCTACGACTCCTCCCGCGCCGCAAACCCGGCGCACACCCGGCGACTCCTCGAGAAGGCGGTGGAGCCTTCTCTCTCTGACCCTCCGCCGAACCCCCCCCTGCTAGGCGGACCTCGCCGCCGACGAGCCGTTCGAGAGGATGATGGCGGTGCTGACCGCGACCGAGGACCGGCCCCTCCGCCTCGAGGCGTACCAGGAGGCGGCCCTCAAGGCGCAGCTCGAGCCGGAGCAGGCTCTCCGCCTCTCCTGCAGAGAGCGACCTCCGCGAGTTGTCCCTGAGTCGCACGTCCTCTCCAGGTCTCCGTCACGGCCGTCCAGCACGAGCACGACGCCGCAGACGGCATACCGCCGCCGGCGAGGCTCATCAACGACCTGGTCGCCACCTACTTGCCCGAGTACGTGATCGCCGTCAAGTCGCACCACGGCAGCGGACCGTGCGGCCTCGCCGACTGCCCCGTCCGCCTCTCGGCCGCTCTCTCGCTGCCGCATTGCGACGCCCTCCCCTCCACCTACACGCTGATGAGCGCGCAAGAGCTCGGCGTGCTGCGCCGCACCTACTGCCGGCTGCATTGCGCGAGCGAGTGCGCCGCAAAGGCGGTCGGCGCCCCCGCGCCCGCCGCGCCGCCGCCGCCGTGGGCCGCCCCGGCCCCGGCGTCCCAGCTGGCCGACAACCAGCGCCCGCCGGCGATCCAGTACGGAGGCCTTGCGACCGTCCTGCCTTGCGGCGAGGCTGGCGCATCGTACGCCGCCTTCGCACCCGACGGGCTCATCTCGGACCACACGACCGAGCATTTGCTGCAGCCGTGGCGCACGGGCGACTCCCAGACTCACCGCCCTCGCCCCAGCTGCTCACCCGCTGCTCTTTCCGCCGTCAGGCACCGCGCCTCGGGGAGGACATACGGCCCTACGTCGGTCGGCTGGTGGGGGGACGCGTCGGGCGCGAACCTCGCGGGCAGCCGCGGGCATCGGCTGGCGATGGAGGTTCGGCAGGAGGTCAGCAGCTCGCTCAGCTCCCACTCTCACTCATGCCCTGAGGAGGAGTGGGAGCGAACCCTCGTCGTCCTCGCCTCGGCGATGGCCTTCCACTGCCGCTCGACCGGCGTCACCGCCGCAGAGCTCTCCGCCTTTGCGCGCAGCGGCGGGTACGGCGCGCAAGCCTCTAGATGTGCAGGTCCCTCGGTTCCAACTCGAGAAGACGCGCACTCGGCTGCATTCGGCCGTGCTGCAGCCACTCACTGTATCCACCTAGCCAATCGCACCCTCACCTCTCCCTCCAGGCACCGGAGGCACCGAGGACCTGTCCCGCAAGCGACCCGCCACCCAGGCCTCGCTCCACATGGGCCAGGGCCCGCCGCAGTACGGCGGGACGCCGCAGCACAATGGCGGCGGCGGGGGCGGCGGCACCACCACGCCGCTCCACTACCAGTACCCGCACCGCGCCTTCCCGCACCCGCCGGGCGTCTGCCCGCCCGGCATGGGCCCCACCGCCGAGGCCACCTTCGGGGAGGGCGGGGCGATGGACTGCGACGGCGTGGCGCAGGATTGGGGGGACGACTTCCTGGGCCGCGTGTGATGCGCGGGCCCGGTCTTCCCCCCCCTCTCCGCCCTCCAGCTCGACGGCGCCGAGCCGTCCTCTGGCCCCACGCCCCCTCTCTCCTGAGCTCGCTGCACTCACTCGGGAGGCAGAGGGGCGAGGGCAGCCGACCGTGCATCTGGTCATGTGTACAGCCGCGGGCGGGTACGATCTGTGAGGAGATCTGCATAATGGCATTGGATGTTCGCGACAGATACGTAAGCACCCGATTGCGAGTGGGAGGTATTGTGGCTTGTCTCCCATCGACCCCTGTTTATTACTTGCATCCACAATAAGGATCGAGGATTCCAGCGAGAAATGCTTAGTCACAGACATATGTCAACAGCTCTGCACCCGACCCGCTTTTTCATTCAGACGCCGGCAGTGTGACGCCGGTGTGTGTCGGTGACGACGACTGCGTCTCGGGGAGGACGCCCACCAGCTGCTGCCAGATCACCTCTGTGCTCAGCTGTGTGGCTATTGCTAACTAATGAACGCGTCGTCGTGTACGCGCAGGCTGCACGAGTCCGCGAGCATCTGCGTGAAGTTAGCCTCATGCAATTGCCCCGAACACCACAAGTGCACTGATCGAGACTTTGCAGCGCTCCGCGTGCGACATCTGCCAAAACCAGCGGAAATTGAAACCCGTTGGCAGCTCGTACACCGCGCTGCCATCAGCCATGGCTTTGGCATTGAACAAGGCCGTCCACAGCTCCTGGTCCGTAGCGCCACCGCCTCCCTCGCGCGCCGGGCACGATACACCGGCCAATCAAAGCCTTTGGTCCAGCGCCACTGCTTGGGCGGTGCCGGCTGCGCAAGGAGCTGGAGGACTTGTGCGGAATCGTTGAGGCTCGGTCGAATCACCATGACGCCCGAGTTGAGCCCAAAGTCCTGCGACGCAAAGGCGAATGCGGGCGTGGGCGCGAGCGCGAGGCTGTCGATATTCCGCACGGCCCTGCAGTCATTGTCGAGCCAAGCCGCGACCTCGTGAGCGTCAGCCAATTTGGCAAAAGTCCCGCGCCGTTTGATCATGGCCCAAGGCGGAGGCCGAAAGGCGTCAGGTGCAATCGGCAGCCCGCGTGTCCCGAGCCGGCGAAGGCGCAGCAGGCTTGGCTTCTGGAGGGTGCCGTCAAAGATCATGGTATGCACGGGCAGTGTCGTCTTGACCGCACGCAGAGACCGCAGCAACCCCAATAGTAACCGCTCCTGCTTGTCTTCGTGTCCCGAGTTTATATGTGCCTCTACTCGCCAGGCCGCTCTTGGAGTCGCTCTCTCGATGGCGCTCGCTGTGGTTGCCGTCTTCTGCTCTGGCTTCCACGTGTAAAGGAAAGGATTCGTTCTTGAAGAGGCCCGTCACAATGGCCGCTGATGTAGCTGGTGCCGAGACTGTGCCTGGCAGGGTCCCTTTGTCGCCGCCGCTTGATTTTTCACTCCAAACCGACTGGGTGCAGGCCGTTGCCCTCCAGCAGCCGTGGCGCGAGCACGGACAAGCGCTGGCGAAGAGCTCCTCACATGGGCCACGCTCGATCCCACGCTCCCGCTCCAGAGCCATGCACGCAGGCGGCACCATCTTGGTGACTGAGGTGGATAGCCTGAGCGGGTTCCACTGTGCACAACGCTTGCACGTGAAAGTCCGCCCAATCTCGATTCGGGGGCCCGGGGGAGGAGGGGGGCTCAAACCTTCAAGGAGATGCGCTATGGATTCATTCACATAGCAAAAGGATCTCCACACTCTTTTCGCGCCATTTTGCTATCTCCAGTCGGCCCACACGATCTCTAGGCGCCTTTGGCGCGAAGTCAGAATCTCCACCTCTGTCGCAAGATCTCAAGCGACTGCACGCACCAACTCGAGATCTCAGACTCCTCTCGAGCATCTACTCCGGAGAATATTTGCCTCCACCAGTTCTTCAATCTACTGCTGCTCTTGGCAGGAGATTTGCCACTTAAGAGATCTCTGAAAGGCATCTACGATCTACAGTCCAAGGATCTTCCGATGTAGCGCAGAGATTTCCATGTATGTCGGTAGAGAAGAAAAAGAGAGCCAGCATACGAGTGTACATCACCCCGGCCTGGCACACACGCGGCCACCGCGAGCGCCCGGGCGGGAGTCGGGCGCATCAGCGTTTAGCGCCACCGGCTACCGCGGGGCTCGCGGCTCGCAACGTCGTTGTGTCGCATGTGTGTGGCCCCCGCGCCGGCCACCTCGAGAGTACTGGCACAAGGTGGCAGGAGAGCAGCCATGGTGTACGTTTCGGCGGCAAAGAGGCGGCGCGGCGACGCGCGAGTCCACTCCTCGCGAAGGCAAAGTCATCACGGAGGATCGGAGCGCGGGATGTGGAGGTCGGGATCCTCAAGCGCCAGTCATCGACGAGTCGCCTAACGGGAGGAGCCGGAGCCCCGTTGGTGTCGTGGACGCCTTCAGAGGACGCGTTCCGAGACGCGCCAAAGGGTGCAACGAAGGCGAGCTGCACCGAGGACTAGCCGAGGACTAGCCGAGAAGGAGAGCCGCACCGAATTGGATCCACGCGGCGTGCGAGGCGGCGATAGCGATCATGGAGGCCAGCACCTTTGGGGGGCGTCTCGGGGTGAATGCATCCCGCTACTGCGGATCGCCTCGGTTGTGCTCTGATCGTGTGCATCTCTCGCACCTTGTTGAGCGTCTCGGGTCTGACGCGCGAGCGGAGGAGTATGAAGGTCAGCGGGAAGGCAGGCATGTACAGCAGCGGCACGATCACCTGCAGCGAGTCAGCCAAGTCCGTCAGACAGAGAACGGGAGCCGAAATCACGCTTTGCTTGCGCCTGCTCCATCTTCAGGCCGTAGTTGTCGACGTTATCCGCCGCCCACGCCTGCCGGTCGTGCAAGCCCTGCGGCAAGCTGCTGCTGCCGCTCGCTCGGCGCATCGTGCCGTCGTACAGGCGAGTCAGCTCCGAATGCTTTGGCTTGGCCTCCGTCTGGCCGTACGGCAGGCCGCCGCGCTTCTCCTGCGCGTTCAGGACCGCCATGACCGCGATCGTCGCTCCGATCGCGATGGCCTGCCCGTATACCCGCGTGTGGATCAGCCGCTGCGAGAGCGGGAGGTCCTTGGTTGCGGGCGACGAGCACTCGTACGCAAAGATGGCGGCGTACAGCGGCGCCGCGACGCCGAAGACCGACTTGAACGGGTTGGCAGCCACCAGGTTGGCCGCCGTCTGCCAGAGCGGTATCGCGGCCTCCGCAGGCGAAGCGGCGGCCGCGGAGCAGCGGGCAGCGTCGCCGGAGCACGCGCCGTCTCTCGCGCCGGCCGCCGGTCGCCTGCGCTCCTCCTGTGCGTGGACCGCGCCGCCAGCAGTGGCGACACCCGCAGCGGCAGCCGCAGGCGCGGCGAGCTTGCGGAGCGCTACGCGGAGCATTGTTTCGCTCGTCGGGAGGTGCCCTTTCCTGGCAAGGCTAAAAGAATTTTACAAGCAAGCTCCCTCGCACAACACTGTGCACGGGACTGGCGCGCACTGGCACTAACACAGGTACACCACGGGAGCCGCCTAAGCGACTCCTGCGAGGGTGGCGAGGCACTTAGCTCCGTGCACCCGCCCACCCCCGCCACAGGCAAGCTCATTCACGACAAGAGAGAGCTGCTCGCTCGAACCGCGGCCGACTCTGCCATCGCGGCCGCAGCTGCTGAGCACTCCAGAAAACTGGTGCCTCATATGCTGCCTCCCTGCGGATGCTGCCGGCGAGCCTGGCGGTCCGCTGTACTACAAGGAAGTGCTGACTCGATTCTACCTCGAATTCTTCTACCCCCACGACTCGGAACACGAATGTGACAGGACCATCGGGTCCTTCAGCCACCAAAGCGGGATCACCCGAGAGCAGCTGAGCCTGCCTCTGGCCTCGCCTCCCTCTCCTTCAGGCATTCGTGGCATCCTATGGGTCGTCCAGAGTATCGACCTCTGCGCTCTGGCGAGTCAGCCAGTCACTTGATGACACCATGAAGTACAGCGATCGCCATCTCGCTGGCCTCTCCGCAGGCCCCCCCGACCGCGTCGAACTCATCGGCGCGGGCTCTCTCGGCTACGGGACCGGCCCCAGCTTCGGCTGAGGGCTAACAAGCTGCATCCCTGGTCTGGCCGGTTCTTTTCATCAGATTGACGTGCTATCTGGGGCGATCCAGATCAATCCAGCTATCTCGTTCTATCTCGTGCGATCTCGCGGCGATCTCGCCTATTCAAGCCGTTTTTCTTTTCTTCTTCGCGCTGCGCGCGCATAGACGCTCCTTCCCGCCAGCTCTATATGGGTCGCAGCCGCAGCCGCAGCCGCAGCCGCGACCGCGACCGCGGCCGCGACCGCAGCCTTTCCTCCTCCTCCTCGTCGTCCTCGGAGGATTCGGCGGAGCGCGAGGAGCGCATGCAGCGCGAACGCGATGATCGCGAGGAGCGCGAGCTCAAGCGGGAGCAGAGGAAGGCCGCAAAGAAGGCGGCCCGCGTGCAGACGGCGGCCACCGCCAAGGCGGGCCTGCTCCAGTGGCGCTTCCTGATCAAGCAGGACGACCCGATCGATGAGGACACCTTCGACGTGACGCTGCTCGCAAGCTGCCCCCCGGAGCTGCGAGTGAACTCCATCGTCACGGCCGAGGATTGGGGCCGCCTCGAGCCGTACCTGCGCGAGTCGTTCGAGATTCCCACCTCCGTCAAGATCGGCCTGCAGGGCAAGGTGCTGTTCAGCGGCAAGCAGGCGCTCTTCTTCAAGGTCCGCGACCAGCCCACGCTGTCCACCGCGCGCGTTCAGATCGAGCGGCTGGGCCAGCTGCTTGTGGACGAGACGGAGGTCACGGTCGAGGTCGAGATCTGCGCCGTGGACGTGGGCAAGAAGCTCAAGGCCAAGTCCAAGCCGCGCACGCGCAAGCAGGAGGCCTCCACCACCAAGCTCGACGAGCTGAAAGGCTCCATCTACGGCGTGACGGCCTCGACGCGCAGCCACGTGACCGGCTCGTGGAAGCCCGCATCGAGCGACATCATGCGGTCGGAGCCAGAGTACCTGGCCAAGTATTTTGAGGGCCGTGGCCTCACGGAGAAGACGCACGCACGTGACCAGCTCGTGGAAGCCCGCATCGAGCGACATCATGCGGTCGGAGCCAGAGTACCTGGCCAAGTATTTTGAGGGCCGTGGCCTCACGGAGAAGACGCACGCACGCACGCACGCACGCACGCACGCACGCACGCACGCACGCACGCACGCACGCACGCACGCACGCACGCACGCACGCACGCACGCACGCACGCACGCACGCACGCACGCACGCACGCACGCACGCACGCACGCACGCACGCACGCACGCACGCACGCACGCACGCACGCACGCACGCACGCACGCACGCACGCACGCACGCACGCACGCACGCACGCACACGCACATACCACACACATGCCGTCCTGTACACACATGCCGTCCTGTTCCTGTTGGTAGGTGATGGGCAACGCCGACTACCACCCGAGCCCCGTGGTCCTCATCTGCCCCTTCGACTCGTGCAAGAAGAGCCACCGCGTGCTCAATGGCGTGAGCGCCGTGTCGCAGCTGTACTCGCACTGGATGGGGAGGCACGCGAGCAACCCGATGGCGATCGCGCTCGAGAAGCGGTGGCGGCTGGCGCTTGACAACAAGCACAAGTCGAAGGAGTGGCTCGATGCGCAACCAGGCTGTGCGCTCTGCCTCACCTGCGAGGAGGCCGATCGCCTCGGCGGCGAGGAGGCAGGCTACGAGCAGATCCGCCCCCCCAAGCCCGATCCGACTGACTTCAAGCTGACCTTCGACCTCAACACTGAGGAGCACCGGGCGTGGAAGGCAGCCGTCGGCACCATCTAGGTGGTCGTAGTAAGGCGAGAGAGCACGGTGCCAAAGGCGCGCGGCGAGAGAGGGGGGCGGGGCGCCCCGCTGCAGCGGCGGGTTGGGGCGCTATCTGGCGCTACCTGGCGCTTCCTATCTGGCTATCTCATTCTATCTCATTCTATTTCGTGTCGATCTGACAAAAGAACCGGCCAGACTAGGGCTAGCTGCCGAGCCCAAATCACTGTGAGAGTCGTGATTTCTGTTGGTTAATAAAAATCTCTCTCTTCACGACCTGCTCTGCGATGGCCGTGTGAAGAACGACTGAGATGCGCTGCTTCTGCAGCCCCAGCCAGCTCTTGGTGGTCCAAGTCACCTCATCGAGGTACTGGGCCCGCGTCAGCTTGTTCTGTAGCACGGCTAAAAGAAAACAAGGCCAAAACGACCGCCGCAAGCGGCGTGGCGTGGAGCGGTTGGGCATCCCCCCGTGGCGTGGAGCGGTTGGGCATCCCTCCGGGGTGCCCTCTGCGCAAAGTTTAAGGTGATGCTGCGCAACAGGGGGTCGGACACAGGTCGCAGCTCATCTGCTCATGCTAGATCTAGATTAGAGACTCAATAGAGAGATTTTAGCAATACCAAACAGCTCTAACACTCACACGTCATTTGGGGCCTGGAGCCCCTGCAGACTGAAGTGCCCTGTTCACGCGCGCGCGAGACGTGCAGACAGGGTTGCCAGGTGAGAGCGAATGGCACGGTTCACGCCTCGCACAACAGAGAGAGAGATGCGCTCTGCATGGTGGGACATAAAAGAGAGCGAGTACTTGGGCGAGTAGGCTGTGTGCGGTCAACGCTGCCGCGCGCGACTTTGCGCGCGAGGCGGCGCAGCTTTGAGAACGGCGGTGGGCGAGAAGCCGCCGCCGAACGTCTCGTGGAGCAGCAGGTTGAAGTTGTTGCGCTTGACAAAGATCGCGTCGTGTTTTGGTTTTAGATCTAAGAGCTAGAAGGGGAGATAGAGAGAACAATCATCCTGTCCTGTTATTGCGTACACATACACAACAACAGGAGTTACAAAAAGTATGAGACCGATCGTCGCAGTTCTCTTGCTCCAAGCGCTTGCGCTTCGGCGGTTAGTGTTGCCCGCCAAAAGAAAGCCAATTCTTGACTTGGGCCCTCGGGGAGGGCGGCCTTCTCTCGAGGTCTCGAGCTCTCGAGATACATACACAGAGCGGCCACAAGCGCGGTTAGTTAGTGGTGCACTAACCTCCGAGAAACCCGTCGGGTCGCTCCTCATCGCAAACCCTGTCAGCAGTCCTCCTACGGGAATGTACGTAAGAGCTACATACACTGAAAAAGAACAACAAGTTTCCTCCGTGGCTCGGGTTACACCAATCCTCGCTACCCAACGCGGCCAAAGGATATCCACCTCGAGAACCTCGAGAACAACAAGTGAAAAAGTTACCGGTAACCCCAGCTGGAGTCCTTCTCTCGCCAGCCTTCAAGGAACCTCTACCGCTCGAAGTGATGTCTTCACCCGCCGCTACGCCGTCGAAGGACTGGCCCGCCTCGGAGGTGGACCTCGAAGCAGCCGCCACGCCGCCGCCTCCGCCTCCTCGGCGGCGCTGCTGGGGGCGCTGCTGCCTGGCGGCCTTCTGCAGCTTCGCCGTTATGGCGCTGGCGATCGGCGGCAGCCTGGCGCTCTGCTCGACCTCCTCCCTCGCTGAGTGCAAACTCTGCCGCGGCCTCAACTACCTCCTCCTGCCGTCGGGCGAGCCCGCCTCCAACCTGCCGCACGACGCTTCCACACGCATCCTCAACGGCGTCGCCTTCCCATCGGCGCTCACGGTGGGGGACGAGGAGCTCTGGTTCTCGGGCGGCGGGGACCGATACGAGTACGGCCTGGTCAAGGTCTACACGGCGGCTAGCTACCTCTCCCGCGACTACTTCCACGAGTGCGACCCGGCCGAGGCGTCCTCCTCGCCATCCCACCTCCTCACCATCACCATCCCACCTCCTCACCATCACCATCCCACCTCCTCACCATCACCAGGCACCCTTCTCCGAAATCGTCGCCTCTGGCGACGCGAAGATGATGGTGCTGCACATGCACTACCCCGCGTCGATCGATGAGGTGGCCGAATCGATCAACAAGCACCTCGCACCGCGGCTGCCGCAAGCCACCGCCGCCACCACGCTGCGCCACCTCAGCGGCGCCCTCACCTCCAACAAGATTGCGCAGGGCGGGCTGCACCCCGGCGACGAGATCTTCCTCTCGTGCGAGGCGGGCACGATGTCGGTCGCCTTCGGCGCGGCCGACGACGCGTCCAAAAAGGCGCTGAGCGAGCCGGGCCTGTGCAAGGCCTTCTGGGGCATCTACCTCTCCAAATCCCCGGTCTTTGACGCTGTCAAGGAGGGCATGGCTCGCGGCTTCCCCGAGCGCGCGGCTGCGCTGTGCGGCGTCGAGGCAGAGGCCCTCAGCGGCGGGTGGGCGCAGGATCTGGCCGCGTCGGCGGCGGCACTCCCCCAGTCCGCGGCCTGGTCTGCGGCGGCGCTGGAGCACGAGGCGGAGGTGCTGGAGCATACAGTGGAGGAGGACTTGAGTAGCCTCGCCGCCAAGCTCCGCGGAGGCGGCCCGGGCGGGGAGGCCTGAGGCCGAGCGGGCGATATATCACAAATGTGTGGGTGGCTGTTGTGCCGCATCAGTCCTTCCACGTCCACAGAGGGTCCCTCTCTCTCTGGCTCTCTCGATGTGCGCATGTCCTCTGATCAATCCCTCAATTTTGTCCATGTTACACTACTACCCTCTCTCTCTTCAGAAACAAGACTCTCTCATCCCACGTCCAGGCCCGGCAACGGCACAAACATGCCGTCAAACGCAAGCTGCACGTCTAGCTGCTCTTCTCGCCACAGCCGGCGGAGCCTCCGGTTTGTCGCGTGGTGCTCGAGCGCGTGTCCCATGCCGACGAGCAGTGTTCGCCTGTGCACAGCAGTGACTGTGAGCAGACACTTTGTGGGCAGCTCCTTGACGCCGACGTGCCACGTGTACCGCGGGCGGAGCCTCCTCGCGAGCTCCACCGACTCGGAGAGAGTGGCGTGGACGGGGTGGCTGCCTGACGAGACGCGCCGTGGACGCGTGTCGTGGGTGTGCCGTGGCCACGGGGGGGGAGATGGGGCGGGGTGGCTGCCCTCGGCACGCAGCGCGTCGAGCACGAGCAAGTGGATCGCCTCCCCGCCACTGCTCCACGATGCGAGCAGCGCGTCTGTCTGCGGCAGCAGGGCGGTGTAATCGGACAGGTAGACCACGCGCTCTTGCGGCGGCCCGAATGCAAAGCCGTAGCAGGTGTAGTCCGCCCCGTGTAGCACGGGCAGCGCCGTCACCGCCAGGCCGACCACGTCCAGCTCCGCCACCTGCCGACATGGGACGCGTCATGGACGTGTCTGCCAAGAGACCGACCCTATTCGAGCTCCGCCACCTCAAACGCATCTCCGAACGAGACCCACTCGATGCTCGCCACGAATCGCCGCACCGCAGGAGCAGGCGGCGGAGCTGCAGCACCGTCCAGAGACCCTCCGCCCGCCACCGCCATCTGCCTTGGCGCACCACCGCTGGAGGAGGCGGCGGCAGGGGCGGCGGCAATGACGGCGGCAGTGGCAATGGATACAGCGGGCCCGTCGGCAGGCCCGCCAGGCACGGGCGCAAGCGTGCCTGGACGTGCGGGTAGAGGCTCGAGGTCGAGCTCGCAGCACCTGCGTGGTGAAGGACTGGTGGTGTTGACTCAGGGATGAGTTAGGCGGAGGCTCGGCGGTCGAACGGGCGGCACTGGCACAAGTCTGCAAAGTTTAGCCGCAGAGGCGCAGCCGCCCGCTTCTTGAACAGGTAAGGAAAGGCGTGCCTGCGCCAAGGTTCCGAGAAGGTAAGGTGTACGAAGGTCGTAGCGGGCTTCTCAAAAGAGACAGGTCTCAAAGGGCGCGCCGCATGCGGGTGAGCGTGCGGCGGTCGCAGAAGCAGGTGATCGAGGAGAGGATGCGGAACGTGCCTGCAGCAAGGTTCCGGGCAGGTCCACGGGATTGGCTCCGCAGAAGCAGGCGATGAGGAGGTGCGCCTGGCTCGACCGGCTGCAGAGAGCGGAGCTCGTCCAGCCCAAAGACAGCGTCCGCGTGGTCGTGTGTCAGTAGGAGCGCGTCCAGCCAGGTGACGCCGTGCTCGCTGTACACGCGGAGGCACGTGTCGCGGAATGTCTTGCCGCAGTCGATCTGCACGTGCTTTGTCTGGCCATCGGCGCCTCGGAAGCGCAGCAGTGCTCCGACGTTGTTGCGCCAGTTCTTATCGGCGCGGCCGTTGCGGAGCGCGGGGCCGCACGCGGTGCATGACTTTTCTGGCGACTGCGGAGCGCCAATCGCACAGCCGATGAGCGGCAGCCCAGAGCTGCAACCTGTGCCCGTGAAGAGAAGGCCGCTCTCAGCAGTGCTTCGGTGTCGGCGTCGGCGGCGTGATGCGAGCAGGTGCACGAGGAGGAGCGATGCAGCCAATGCACTCACGCAAGCCGCCGCTCGCATCAACCTGAGTCGCCTATTGCGACCGCCGGGAGGCGCCTGCCGTCAGACACACTCTCTCTGCAGATCGGACTGGCGAAGGACACAGGAGGGCCTCGGTCCGTGGCGCGACTCGACTTTCTTTTTTCTTAGTCGTTAAATGAGCTTGGCCGCCCGCAAGAGCCCAATTCGAGTCCCTTTTTTTGCGGCCAGCCTGTACTCTCAATTCACACTCACAACATACCTAAAAACATCAAGAGCTCGAACCCTTCCCGCCCGCTCACCGCATACCTCTCTCTCCCCCCACAGGACCGGTCCAGGACCGGTTCGAGCTGCGCTGGACCGGTCCACCCTCCAAAGCGGTCCAGCACCCTCCATGGCGCCCCAGAGGGCTGAGCCTGAGGTTCTCGAGGTGGATATCCTTTGGCCGCGTTGGGTACCCGGCTACCTAATAGGTACGGACGGGTAGCGAGGATTGGTGTAGATCTAACCCGAGCCACGGAGGCGTGTTTTCTGACGGCCGACCGTCAGTGCACGGAGTTGCCCCTTCTCCGACTGCCCCGGCTAGTTCCCGAGCGAGTTTCGCGGGAGTGACCCCATGCGTCAAACCCGAGACCTATAGCGCGGGTGGGTTGGATGGAGGGGGGCTCGCTGCAGGGAAGGGCTGTGTAAGAAGCCGATCCCCGCAGTCCGCCCCGCTCCTCCCCATCGGGCCGCATGAGCGGCCACGCCTCGCAGATTCGTTTTCGCGCCTGGGTCAGGCGCGCGGGGCATCCCCCGGGTCGCTCTCGACCAGCGATCCCGAAGAGTGGCCGCTATGCGAAGGAAAGAGTGGGACCCTCGGGGTAAGCCTCGTCCGGCCCCCTCCGAGGGGGGAAGGGAATTGCGGGGTCCCCACGGGCGCCTCTCTTCGGCCCTCCCGAGGGGGGGAGGGGAGCAAGGGCCTTAGCCCCAAGGGGGTGGGGGGGTCGGGGCGGGGGGGAGGGGTCTCGCTCGGGTTTCGTGTCGGGCTAATACTTGCCCTTTCGGGGAGTCGGCGAGCGCAGTGGCGCCCGCACGACGTCTTCCCCCCCTCCCTCGCGGCAGCGAGTAGGCAGCGAGAGGAGGTCTCGAGCGCCTATATGAAGGTATGTGAGATGGTGATGGGAGTCACACACACACAAAATCGAATTCACAAATCGCGTGAAGCACTCTGGGGGGAGGCGAGGGCCCTAGGGGTACCCATGCGGGGGGGAGATGGGGTCCCCCAGCCCGCCGCAGGCGCCGATTTTTTTGACATTTTTCTTTTTTCGCGCTATTTTTTACTTGTTTTCATGGGAATTCGGCGTACTTGCGGCCATGCTATCACGCGATCACGCCTTGCGACATCCTTTCGGCGCTGCTGACCGTGCCATGCTGCTCAACTGACCTGTCTGGAGTGATCTGTCGGCGGTCAGTACGACCGATCAGGTTGGAGTTTTCTGATGATTGGAGGGTCTATCTGTATGTACTCCTCGAGATCTCTCCAAATCTGCCCTCTAATCAACGTGTAATCATTCGGGAAGTCGGTGCTAATAGAGACTAATAGAGCCGGGGCCCCGTTTCCGCACTGCTGCGCGGCGCACGGTGCCTCCGGGGGCCCCCGCCTCCCCCCAGAGAGAGGTGAAGCACAGCTGCGGCTGTTTTTGTCATGAGTGGCAGCAACAAGGGAGTATCCTGAATTGACTTTCTTTCTTTTGGCGGGCAAGTCGAAGAGGGAGCGTTTACAATCCTTTTGGAAGAAAATAATTTAAGAAAGAAAGAATTGAAGAAAACAAGTTCAATAAGAAACCCACTTTCGGGCGCCCCGCGCAAACGGGCCCGAAGAGAGCCCGCTGTGTGGCCCAGGCTGCGCGACTGCCCGATCCGGGGGCGATTCGTGTGACGTCGCTCCGGGGGATTTTCAGCGTGGCATCACATGAGCGCTGCCGGACCCTCAGCATTGGACGACCAAGTGCTGCGCTTGCGCGGCACCATTCCGGGCGCGGGGCCGGCTAGTGCGGAAATGCGACAGCGAGAGTTCGAGTTTTCCAGCGTTCCAGGCTGGCAGATCAATGGGCGGCCAGTCTGCGTGAAGGCGCGCCAAGGTGGCCGAACTCGCCCAAGCGACCGGGCTCTATGGTTCGAAGACGGTTGCTGGTTCTCTGGATGGAACGAGGACTTCGTGAAGCGGCTCAAGGCGGGCAAGCCTTTCACGGTCAGGAATCCTGCGGACGAGTTCGTGTACAGCACATGGCGGTCAGAGGAGACCGATGTTATGCATCCCAAGGACGTCAGGCACTGGTACTTTAGCGACGGCCAGACGTGGACGCCGACCACGCTCAGCAGCGAGCGCGAAGCGGCGGCTCAGCTTCACCGGCAAGGGAGCAAGAGTGCTGCAGCAGGCGATCCGCCGTGGCTGGTTTCCAAGGCGCTCGCGTTGGCGAGCGGCGATAGCGACGCGCTGTACTCGGAGCTGGCCGAGCTCAACAAATGGAGCAGTCAAGAGGAGCTTTTGAACGTGCGTTTTGGCCTGTGGCAAAAAGGCCAAAGCACGTGGACGCCCTTGACCTGGCTTTGCAGTGTTGACGGAATCGCCGAGGCAAAGACGCTAGTCGAGAGGGGCGCAGGCTTGGAGACGCGCGACGGAGAGGGGCGAACGCCTCTGATGAGTGCCGCTAGCCATGGCCAAGTTGCGTGCTTGCGCTGGCTCGTGGAGCACGGCGCCAACCTCGACATGTACGCTGCCGATGAGGAGGCGCTGAGCAGCCTGCCCGATGCGAGCAGCTCTATTGTGCGCGGAGCGCTGCAGCAGACAACGTCCGGTCCAGCTGGCGGCGATCAGCCGCCAGAGCAGACGATCTGTCCAACGCAGGTTCGTGGTGGCGACGCGAGCAATGACCAGCAAAAATTGCTCGCGGACCCCGATCAGGGCGACCAGATCACGTGTGTTGACATGTCCGCTCTACCCTTATCAGCTTCGGATCCTTCCACCAGTCTTAACGTCGCTGCCGTCGCCTCTTCCTCGGCATCTGCCCCCACCGCCGCCTCAGCGTCCCCTGGAGCCGGTGCCGGTGGCCAGGCTGCGCAGTGGAGAAAGATGGTCGAGCTCGACTCGGAGGACGAGGATGTGCTACGGCGACAGCTCTCATCGCATCAAGAGGACGACTCGGAAAGCGACAACCTTCCCTTGTCCTCACGACTGGCGGCGTCACCCGCAGCCGCCGCCGCCGCACTCGCAGCTCCCGCCTCGCCAGGCCTTGTCCCAGCCGCTGCCGCCACTGCCGCTCCATCGGCCCCCTCAAGGCCCGGGGTTCACCACGGCTCGCCACGGAGCAACTCGGCACCCATCTCCCGTGTCCCACCAAAGCGAAGGCTTTCCGAGTCCGCCGCCCCTTCTGACGCGTCTCGTCCGAGGCCTCCTCCTTCTGACTCTACCTCCACGCGATCCACTTCTCCCTGGGGTTGGGGCGGGGAGGACGCCAGCGGTGGTGGCCGTAGCCATAGCGTTCGCCCACCACCGTCGCAGGGGCGTGGCCCGCCGCCACGCCACGGCGATCACGGCCGCCATGCTGGCCGCTCAGCACCTCCGCCTCACCACGGCGACCGAGCGCCTTACCACGGCGGAGGTGGCGGTGGGTTTGGCGCTCCGCGCGAAGGTGTGCGCTACGATGTCGATCGCGGCCGGCCCCCGCGCCTCGACGACCGCGAACGGTATGGCGGTGGGCCAGGGAAGGGCTATGGCGGCGGCGCCGGCGGAGGCATGCCAGGCGGCAGGCAAGTTGACCGTGGTGACCGCGGTGGCCGCGGTGATCGCGGGGGTGGATTCGGCCGCGGCGAGTCCTGGGATCGAGGCGTCCGCTACGACGATCGAGGCGACCGCAGGCGCGGCTTTCATGACGCACGACCTCCACCTCGTCGTCGCTAAACGCTCCCCGCTCGAGCGAGCCGGGTGTGGAGTGGAGTTTTGCGTTTTTCAGTGGAGTCTCAGTCTGCAGTCTCCCCTGGAGTGTCACACAAATCACAATGCGGTCGCATTTTATGTTTGCTTAGCTGCCGCCTCTGCTCATACAGCGAAAATAAACCTTAGATGGCCCACCCATTCACTGAGCGGCCCTCAAAATCGCGCCGCATCACGCTGCCCGGCAGCGCCGCCAGCGCCTTGTCCGATAGCGCCGGGCTCTCGTCGCCATACTCGCGGGCCTCGCACCCGGGCGGAGGCTCGACCGCCGCCGCGCGCGTCGCCGCCGCCGCGCCCACAAAGGGCTCCTCCCGCCCGCCGCGCGGCTCGCGGCGAGCGCGGCGAGCCGCCGCGCGCCTCCTCGCCCGCCGCAGCCGCAGCCGGCCCGCCAGCTCGGCGAGCAGCGTTGCGACGGCGTCGTCCGCCCCGTGCGCCGCGAGAGCAGCACCCGGGCCCTGCGGCCGGCCGGCAGCCGCCGCGCGCGCGCGCTCCGCTGCGACGACACTCCCGTACGTGAAGCGGCGCCACACCTGGCTCAGTCGCAGCTGCATCGCCTGCACGGCCGGCGGCGAGAGCTCGAGCAGCCTCCGCCGCATGCCTCCGATCTGGTCGCGGGGCACGCGCACGGCGTAGGACCGCCAGTCAAGGACCGTCTCGAAGGGCGTGTGGATGCCGTCCTGATGAGCATTCATTGATCATGGCTGAGGAATGCCACCGCCTCGGTGTGGATGTCTCGGCGAGAAAGGGGGATGCACTCGCCAATCTCCGTGTAATTGATCTAGGCAAGCATGGACCTGCAGAAGGACGGGGATGCAGCCGTGCAGCACCGCGTCCTCGAACCGGCCCGACCAGCCCCAGCCAGGCATCACCCCTACGCGAGGGAAGGCTCCGAGAAGGCTAACGGAAGGCTCGAGGCACGACCCGTTTCCCCAGCCGGGCACGACGCCGCAGAAGGTCGACCGAGAAAGCATCTCCTGTGAACCAATCATGCGCAACAATTGATCATGGGGAATGATGCATACAGCGCGCGGCGGGAGCGTCTCTCCGAATAGCGCGGCGTCTTGACGTCCGTCACGATGACCCGCTCGCCATACGGCACGCCGCCGCCGCCGCTCGCGCCGCCGTCGGCAAACCTCTGCGCGCGAGCTGCCAAGTGGCCGTACTCCCGCCGCAGCTGTTGCCGCACTCCAAACGAGTAGTTTTCAAACTGCGAAGTGCCGCCCAAATTGCCGTTGAAGTAGAAGAGCAAATCGCGTCCCGACCCTCCGCCGTCGCCGCCGCCGCCGTCGCCGCCGCCGCCGCCGCTGCTGCGGCGCAAATAGGGCGACGCACCCATCGCCTCGGGCCTTCGCCACGACGGAAGCACGATGTCCTGCTCACAGCAGCGGCCGTGTGAAGATGCGGTGCTCACGCGGCAGCGGCAGCGGCAGCAGCAGCAGCTGTCCTTGCACGGGTCGTAGCAGCGGCTCCAGCCGTACATGCCTAGGGTAGGGTCAGGGGCTCAGGCTGGGGCTAGAGCTGGCGCAAGCAGCGGCTCCAGCCGGTACACGCCTCGCGCGTGCGGGTCGACGCGCCTATGGAGCAAAGTCAGTATATCTCGGGTACACCTCGGGTGACCTCGGGTGATCTCGGGTGATCTCGGGTCGACGCGCCAGAGGTGGTACTCGCTCGAGCCGTTCGGGCGCGTGTGCGTCCTCCCCCAGTGGGTGAGCAGCGTGCGCGTGCCTGGGGGCAGGGGGTTAGAGGTAGAACTCCCGCATTGGTTC